TATGCAGTCTCTGACATCTAATCAGCCTCAACCCTTTTTGTTTTTGCAGAGAATAGAAACTCAAATCAAGATATTAGAATCTGCCACAAGGAAAAGATCGCTTGGTAACCTCTTCCACCATAGTTTTCACCTAAGCTATTAGACAAAATTTTTTCAATTAGAAAGCCTGTCTACAACAGATTATAGAATCTATATAAACAGAGAGAAATGCAAAAATAAGCACAAAAAAAAAAAAAAAAAAAAAAAGATGTTAGTTACAGGTAGGGACAGGTGCAAGAGATTTGAACAGTGATTGAAGCCCAGTATTAAGAGTCATGTGATCGGTTTTGAACATGAGAATTTTTCTGCATTGGTATCACAAGCTTTGAATCAGGAGAAAGTTGATTTAGAAAAGGCTACAGAGGAGAAGAGTGTCAGGAGGACTTTCCCAGTGGCTAGTAGCTCTAGTAGTAAAAAGAGGAGATTCTTCAGTCCATTTCCTTCTAGATCTAGCAGTGTGAGGCCACAGAGCTAGAGACAGTTCAGACCACCATTGCCACCTCCACGAGCTCCTCCAGTTACTCGTAGTTGTGTTCATTGTGGTAAATATCATGGCGGAGTGTGTAAGTTGACCACCAATGGCGGAGTGGTGAGGTAAGTTGACCAACAGGAGCATGTTTTAACTGGTGCGAGTTGGACCACTTTGTGAGGGAGCCTAAACCGAGAAATACTACGGCATAATAAGCCACAGGGGGGATCGATTCAAAGACCAAAGCTGCTTAGTCTATGATCTCTCAGCTTCAAGGCAGAGGTAGAGGCAGCGGTAGAGGGTAGGCATGTTCCCGGTAGCAGGGGACAGTGAATCAACCAGAAGGCCTATTGGTGTGCCAGCTAGAGTTTATGCTATGAGGCAGAGGCAGGATGCTGATGCAGCTGATGTGGTGACTGGTAAATATTTCCTTTATTTAATCATGATGTTATATGTGTTATTTGAATCTGGATCATCTCACTCTTAATAGTGCTGGGGATTTCTTGCTAATGCAATCTGTTCCTTGGTTTGCGATTGGGTGTATGAATTGCTTGTATGAGTCCATTAGGCAGAGGTTATTGTTAAAAATTATATCCTGATTGCCCGACGTCATAATCCAGATCATGTATTCCCCTCTGATTAGTTGAGATGCTTTCGGAGATTTTGATGTTATTTTTGGGCATGGATTTTTTTTTGGTTAAAAAAAAAAATCAAGCAGTGGTTGATTGTGACCTTAAGAAGATACTATTTTAAACTGCCAGATATATTTGGATGTGGTGATACAGGGTGAGAGACAGATACTTCCTTCATCTGTGATAACTGCAGCTTTAGCTCAGAAATTGATCCGTCATGGGTGTGAGGCATACCTAGCTCACGACATGCCATGTCTTACAGTAGGGTAAGGTGTGACAATATATATAGGCATACTTTCATTTTTGTTTGTCCCAATATATAGTGTTATTTCTTTTTTTAAAAGATCATTTAATATCTAATTTCTTTATACACTCTTATTTAATGTACATCCATATTCTCAATTGATATCTGTCATTCAATATTATAAAAAGATATTTGAGAAAAAAACAAAAAAAAAAAAAATATAATTCAGTTATATTAATTAATTTTTCTTAATTTATGTGAAAGTCAAACTAAACATATATATATGGGACATAGTAAGTACTTATTAACTATTGGCTATTTATATAGCTGTGCAAAGCAAAAGTGTTTTAATTGTCCATTAAATTTAAAATGATAAAAAATAAAAGAAATTATCTTATTTTATAATGTTTCATTAAACACTTTATTAACCTCTAAAAGTTATTATATAAAACTCACAGTTAATGAAAATAGTATTTTTATATAATCAAATCGCTAAAATCTATCTTAAAAGCTTTAAGAGTCCATCTATCTTTTAGTGCATAAATGTCATTATAAAAAATAAATTGATATATTAAACTCTTCTTTCAATTAATAAAATATAAATATTTTTTTTTCTTCTTTATACGAAAGTTATGTAGGAGGTAGCGATGGGAACTCGAGTTTCTCGTATTAAAGACATGATTACTCAACCATTACACTAACTATAGTCTATAGTATAAATAAGATATTATTAACTGAATTATCATTGCAAAAAATTATATCAAAATTTTTAAATCGATGGTCATTAAAATTTATTTACATGTTTATAAACTAATTGTATAAGATTTATCATGTATTTTATTGAAAAAATATTATGGTATTTTAAATTTTATGATGGACTTATTATGCCTCTAAAATCATGAATTTTAATAATATTATATCACTCTATATTAGTAATAAATAATTTTTTTTATACTTATAAATTTTATATTTTTTAAATATTTAAATGTCAAGGAGAGCTTTTGGAAGAAGTGTTTGACTGAAGCTCCAGTTTTGACTTTACCTATTCCAGGTAAAGAGTTTACTATTTATAGTGATGCTTCTCATAATGGATTAGGTTGTTATTGCTTATGCATCATGCCAACTTAAACCACATGAGAAGAATTATCCCACGCATGATTTGGAACTTGCATCCATTGTATTTGCATTGAAGATATGGAGACATTTTATGTATGGTGAGAAATGCTATATCTTCACCGATCATAAAAGTTTGAAGTATCTGGGTACTCAAAGGGAGTTGAATTTGAGACAGAGAAGATGGCTTGAGGGGTACTCAAAGGAGTTTGAATTTGCGACAGAGAAAGATGGCTTGAGTTGATAAAAGATTATGACTGTATTATCGATTATCAGCCAGGGAAAGCTAATGTGGTAGCAGATGCACTGAGTCGTAAGACTATTACTAGCCTGAGGACTACAGCGTTATCTCTAGTCCATGATCTACGGTCTATCAATGCTAAGATTGAGAAGATTTCTGACAATTGGGTGTTAGCTAATCTTCAGGTGAAGCCTTTATTGATTGATCAAATTCGAATAGCAATAGTGACTGATGATGAATATCAAAAGATTCTTTTAGAGACACAAGAGAGTAAAAGACCAGATTTTTCTGTCAGTAGAGATGGGTTATTACTATTTCGGGACCGGTTATATGTTCCTTCAGATTTAGATTTGAGACATCTCATTTTGAAGGAAATCTTGAAGAAGCACATGATCCCATTTTCTAATGCACCGGGCGGACAAAGATGGTATAGGGATTTGAAGAGGAACTATTTTGGTGGACTGGTATGAAGAAGATATTGCTGAAAATTGTAGCTAAATGCCTAACGTGTCAACAAAGTCAAGGCAGAACATCAAGTACCAGCAGTTAACAATCAAATCCAATAACAGTGCCAACATGGAAATGGGATTAGATCACGATGGATTTTGTTACCGAATTACCTCAGACGTAGCGGAAGCATGATGCAGTATGGGTAATTGTAGACAAATTAACCAAATCCGCGCACTTTCTACCAGTCAGGATGGACTATTCTCTAGACAAGTTAGCAGAAATTTATGTTAGAGAAATAGTTAGACTACATGGAGTTCCATCATCCATTATATCTGATCGTGATCTAAGGTTTACATCGAAGTTCTGGGGTAAATTGCAGGAAGCATTAGGAACAAAACTGCATTTCAGCACTGCATTTCATCCTCAGACAGAATGCCAGTCAGAGAGAGTAATTTAAATCCTAGAAGACATGATGAGATCATGTGTTATAGAATTTGAAGGCAGCTGGGACAGATATGTACATCTCATGGAATTTGCCTACAACAACAGCTATTTGCTTATAATAACAGTTAACCAGGACCAGTATCGGAATGCCTCCATATGAAGCTTTATATGGTAGAAAATGTAGGACACCTCTATGTTGGGATGAAGTTGGTGAAAGGCAATTACTAGATCCTGAAATTATTCAACAAACAGAATAAAAGATCAAAGTAATTAAAGAAAGATTGAAGGCGGCGACAGATCGACAAAAGTCATATGTGGATCTAAAGAGAAGAGATATAGAGTATAAGGTGGGTGCCATGTTGGCCAACATCCTCCTCTTTCAAGGTATAAGAATCATAAAATTCATTTACATAAGTCATTCGGTCATATGCTTTCAAAATAATCTTTTTCCTCTTACTTGAGAGGATTGGTCCATTGGCATATAGGTTAGCCTTACCAAACGCAGACCTCCGATAAGATTCATAATGTTTTCATGTTTCTATTGCTTTCCGGCGATAAGATCGCGAACCCTTCACATAATTTGCCTTTAGAATGCAATTGAAAGTTAATCGAGACGTCACATAGATGAAGAACCAGTGGGCTATCCTAAGCTAGGAAATTAAAGCAACTTCGGAATACAGATTCCCCCTATTAAGGTTGTTATGGCGAAGCCACTCCAGAGAAGAGGCTATTTGGGAACGTGAAGAAGATATGAGAAGACAAACATCCACAATTATTCAGAGAAATCATAACAAGGGTAAATTTCGAGACGAAATTTCTTAAGGAAGGGAAAGAGGTTGTAATATCCTTAATTTTGTAGTTCTTTCTATTTTAGCCTTTTTCGATGAAATTCGGTTATCCGAATAAAAAGGAAACTTAAAAATAATGGGAAACAACTATAGATTGAGGATATTAATATTAATTAAATGAAATCATTAATTGATCTTTACAAATCCATGTTGAAGCTTAAAAGGAAATCAAAAATGAGTTGAAAGTGAATGAAATTCTCGGTAAAGCACGATTTTTACCTGAAAAGCCCTGAAAAACGTAATTTTTCCGTAACATTTTTTACCAAAGTGGAGTTTAGAATATTAAATCACTTTGGTTTTATACCTAATAGGACTAAAGTAAAGTGATTAAAAAGATTAGAGTGCCAAAAGGATGAAGGGAAAAACAAAATGGAGGGAAGCAATTTTCATTTAAAGGACATGGAAGGAATTTTTAATAAAGTTTATTATATAATTTTTATGAATAAGTGGAGAGAACCACGACACTTTCACCCATTATTGTAGGCCAAGCCGTTCAAGAAGAGAGGAGGAGGGTTTTGAGTCAAAACCAAGCAAAAAGGAGGTGAAAATCAAAGAATTTTCAAGTATTTCTTAAGAAAAGGTTATTTATCTTCACTTCCTCCTTCTTTTCTATGGATTAATTTTTGAATTCCATGAACTTTGAAGTGAGGTGCTTGCTTGTGTATTCTGATTTGGTGAAGATGAAGTGACTAGAAGTGATTTTAAGGTGATTTAAGATGGTTGAAAGTAGTTATGCATGAATTCAAGTCTAAGTTGCATAATTCACTAAGATGGATGATTTTGAGTTTGTTTTTGATATTCCATGAACTAGGGATTCTGCTATTTCTGATATTCTTATATTATGATGTTATGTAAGTAATAGAAGGTAAGTAATAGAAAAGTGGATTGCCATGAAATTTGTGCTGGAAGTGAGGGTTGAAATGCTTGAAAACATATATAAATTAATGTTGGACATGTTACAGTTGGGCTGGCCTGAAATTCAGCTTCTGTAATTAAACCTATTTGATAAGCAAAATGAACCTCCAAAATTTATGAATTTGATAATGGAGATAAGGCTGAGATTTGGGTAGGTCGTGTTAAAATTTAAAGGCCATTGGATAAAAGCAAATGGAGTTATAAGTAAATCAATGCAGGCTGCTCAGCATGAGAAAAACTGAACTTCAGATTATATAATTATGTCATTTAAAAATGAAAATGAGCTTTAAAAATTATGAAATTTTCCAGAACAGTACCCTAAGATGTTGGGAACATGCTGTCAAAATTCAGGGCAATTGAATAAGGGAAATTCAAGATATAGTCAACGCAATACCAGCTACTCAAATGCTGAAATTCTGCATGTCATAAACCTTGAACGAATTTAGCATGCTATTCACTTCTATTGTTCCATTGTTTTCATTGTTAGTATTTTGTGTCTAGGATGTGGTTAAGTGTTGGATATGAAGTGTTTCATGCTTAAACTCAGATCATATAACACTTGGACGGACAAGGTATAGTGAAAATGGAGAAAAAGCATGAGACTAACATTCTAATGCTTAATTTACATTCTTATAGAAGTGCATGGTGTGTAATTGTGTAGTATGATCTTAATGTGAAGTATTAATATTCATGCCTACCTGCTGAGAGAAAGGGAAGTTGAGAGAGGGTGATTACTAGAGGAAAAGGCTAAGGGGAGCCATCAAGTTCAGGTTAGTGTAATATTATTCCTTTCACTTTTATTTAAACAAAATGAAATTGATTTTGCAAAATATTTTCAATGGATTTGCTTTATGAATTATAATTATATTCATAAGTTTTTAAAGAGGAAAATGATTATTTTGAAAGCATACGACCGAATGATATTTGAACAATTACATTCTATTATGTATCTAAGATTTAAACAGGACTCCAATATGTAATTAAATCATCCATGGACTTATAGGTTATGGAACCATTTTATTTTATGTTTTTTTTATAATATGTTTAAGAAATTATATTGAGATTAATATCTACCAAAAGAAGTTATATATATTTACTAACTAAATTATTTTGCTACAAGATATAAAAATGAAGGAATTAAAAGGATTAAGTCCCTTGTAGTATACTTAGTAAGCATTTATAAGAATTAAGTGAATGATATATGATTGATATGAAATTCTCCTCCATGTTGAGGTTGTAGATTGCTTCCTCTTCCTGTTGAAATCAATATCACAGATTGAGGTTGTAGATAGCAGGTCTAGATGTGCACATTGACATTGATGGCCCTTCAGCAATTGACTCTATAAAAGCTGTAAAGACCTATATTATGAATTGGATGATTTAAGAAATGGTAATTTGATTATATTTGTTTCTTATTTTTCTTTTACCAATGGTGGATTTATGATTGTCAATTCCTTAATTATTTTTATTAGTAACACCACTAAGCCATAATGCTTAGCGAAGTTGCTTTTCAGGTAAAGAAAAGGAAAAAGAACCAAGAGAGGATCATTTTTATTTGATGTAGATAGTATGCTACTGATGTAGCTATTGTATATTTGACTTCTTTTAGAATATGTATGATGTATTAAACATTAACAGATCATCTATGTATATTTGAGCAGATTCATGTGAATTATGATTGTATGAATTTGAAAATTTATAGTCTATTAAGTAATTAATTTCTATTATGTATCTAAGATTTGAACAGAACTCCAATATGTAATTAAATCATCTATGGACTTATGGGTTATGGAACCATTTTATGTTTTTAATAATATGTTTAAGAAATTATATTGAGATTACTAGTTAGTAAATTATAGACATTTCTTTGAGATTAATATCTACCAAAAGAAGTTATATATATTAATAACTAAATTATTTTGGCCTACAAGAATAATAAATAAAATGAAGGAATAAAAAGGATTAAGTCCCGCTTGTAGTATACTTAGTAAGCAATTTATAAAATAACTTAGTAAGCATTTATAAGAATTAAGTGCTTATTAATTATATTACGGGCGACATGCCATGTCTTACAGTAGGGTAAGGTGTGACATGTTTAAAGCATATATTTTTAGTGCCAATTGTATGCTAATTAACTATTCTTTCTCCTCTGGAGCCTTAGAGCTCCCTTTAATCCGGAAAAAAAAAAAAAAAACCAGAGCCGTCTTCTCTTCTTGGGCCGAAAACTCCCTTTTTTGAAACCTGACTAAATTGGGCTTCAAGCCTTAAGCCCATTTTATTCTATTAAATGAAGAAAAGGCGCGAGACCGCTGAAGACAAAAGGAGGGAAATTTTGGCGACAACAATCTGCGTCGGAGATAGGGCAAAACTTCGGCTAATCTCTACGTCGAAAGGGAAGCGAAACACGGGAGTGAAAAATATTTCCATTTGTTCAGAATTTAATGCGTTTTCTTCTTAATGGTTTTTCTCATGGATTCATCTAATTAAGGCCTTCTTGGCTTTGCTTTGGAAACTGTAATGAAATGCAATTCTTATAACAGGGTCATGTTCAGTTTTCTTCTTTGGCATAAGGGGACCTGCATTTTTTTTAATCTCATTTTTATATTTGAATTACTTAAATTTAGGTGAAAATAACATCTATTTCTAGGTATAGTTAGGATATTTGATTCTCTATGATTGAACATTTTTCATTTTGGGATAATTATATTTTTAGTATTTAAACCTTTTTAATCAAGTGTCTCCCCATAACGTGTCGAACTGAAAAAATAATTATACTGGTGTGAAATCAGTTGGGACATGTCCCAACTGACTTGGGATAAACTGCTGAATTTTTTGACATGGCGCGTAGCTGATGTGGAATTAGCCTGAATTCGCGTTCTAGCCTCCATTAATTGCATTCTAACAACCTCATTCCCTTCTAAGAATCACCAATGAAATCCCTAAAAATCAACTCCATCCACACTCTTTTTTCGTTCAATTCAGTTTTCCAATAAACTCTAATTTTATTGCGATTATTTTTTTTTTTAAACTTATAATCAATAAAATCTGAATCTCCTCTCAGTTCTCTGGTACATATTCTGTTCTTAGTCCGAGTCTTCTTTCTTCAAAAGCACAAGTTTTTGTCTCTTATACCATTAAAGACTTCATTTAGCATTTTTCAATAAATTTTTTTTCTTATTATTCGACGGGTTCTTTTCTTCATTTTCTTTCTTTCTTTTTTTTTTTTTTCCTTTTTTGAAGCTTTTGATTTTGGTTAGCGAAAGCAAGCATTAATGGAGTTGCAGAGTCACCTAATTCAATACCCATTTCTTTAACTTCTTTAAATTACTTAGAGCTTCAAACTATAAATACTTCGATTCTATGTCTTTTAAACCCAAATAAGAAAAGAAAAAAACAACCCAAGTCCCTAATAAATAAGAAATGTCAGCTCTGGAGATGTCACATGTCGGTTCGGAGTCGGGAAGCCACCGCCGCTTCATCGCCGAAAGCGATGGGACCAGTTTTTCTGATGCAGAAGATGATGGGTCTTGCTACTCTTAGTTTTATTCGACGACGGATGGCTCTTATGACGATTACAGTTTTGTTTGTATATCTGATCCTAAGATTACCGATGGTGTCGTTTTGGAATCTAGGCTGGTGCTTCTGTGTCTGATTACTCTGTAGAAGTGGAGATTGAAAATGGTAATGGTTTAGCTAAGATAAAAGTGCATTTGGCTAAGGTAGAGAGAGGATTTGCCATTTGGGTCTGGAAAGCAATAGCCATGAAACCGGAGTCCCATTGAATTGGGTTGCTCTTGTAAAGATGATTTGGCTGCTGCTCACAAACAGTGTGCAGAGGCTTGGTTCAAATTAAAGGAAATAAGTACAAAATTAAGTAAACAATTTATTTGTTCTGGATAAATTTTCTTTTAATAATTATTTGAATTTTAATTAATTTAGTTTGTTTCCTGAAAATGGTGAATTTCCTATTTGGTGATAGCAGAGTCCATGTGTTTTCCAGAATGATGTACTTTACTGTTCATAACCATCTAACTAATGCCTGATTACCCACTAAAAAGATGCAGAAAATGATTTTAATTGCATTTGAATCATAATATAGGAGATTAGGGTACTGGGCTTACTTGCAATGTAAAAGAAAATTCTATTTATAGGGAATGAGGTTGTTAAAGTCCAAAGAATTGAGGCTATGCTCATTCTTAACTCTATTTGCTTGTTACTCGTCAAGCTTCAACAGTGCCACCTTCTCCTCTACATCTTCTTCTCTCTGCGTTGTTATTTTGATGATTTTTTCGGCTAACACAACCACTGAAAGCTGCTGCACAACCGATCTTGGCATCCACTTCATCTTCTGTGTGTTCTCTGTCTCAACGTTCCGATTTGGATATTGACGACTACTTCTAGTTCCTTTACAGAAAATTATAAATTTTCTAAACTTTTGTGGCTACTTACCAGTATTGGTGTGATTATCAGTCTTTAATGCCGAACGACTGATTTAATTTAACAGTTATAAAATTGTTTCGTCTCTCTTCTTAGAGAGTTCTTCTGGTTTTGGTCTTGTCATTGACAAGTTTTTCTCATGGCTGATGATCAACATATTTCTGTGGAGATGGCTAACTTATCAGTCAACGGTGAGGAAGATGATGGACTAGTTTTTGAAGAGGACGAAGAACTCTCTACAGGTTCTGACAACTCTCTCTGTCTGGTAGGACGATTTCTTACCGATAAAACTCTCAACTTCCAGGCTATGAAACAAACCCTTGCTTCTCTATGGAGGCCTTTCATGGGAATGTCAGTCAACGAGGAGGGGAATGGTCTTTACCGTTTTCAATTTTACCACAAGGTGGACGTGGACAGAGTCCTTGATATGGCACCATGGACTTTTAACAATCAACTTTTGATTCTCGGAATTGTTGAAGGTAATATCACTTTGTCTGATATCTCTCTATTTGAAACTCCTTTATGGGTCCAGATTCACAAACTTGATAATGGGTTTATGACTGAACGAGTGGCAGTCCGTTTGGGCAACGAACCTGGTTCTTTTCTAGAATCCGATCCCAATAATTTTACAGGACCAAGACGATCCTATATGAGACTGAAATATTTACATGATATCCGTAATCCTATTCGACCAACATTGAAGCTCCGTGCAAAGGCTGGAAATTGGTTCTATCCCACACTGGCATATGAACGATTACCCAGTATATGCTTTCTATGTGGTTTCCTTGGGCACACTGAACGATTCTGTCGTAAGCTTCTGAACGAAGGCTGTGTTTCGTTGGTCAGAAAGTTTGGTCCGGAAATTCGAGTTTCTAACCGGCGAAGCCTGCGAATTGGTGAACGGTGGTTGAGGGAGGAGACAGGTGGGTCCTGGGATACGGCTACTCATGATGTTGGTGTTGAAAAAGCCAATAATGATGGAAGCTTTCAAATTTTGAATAGGAAAGGAGATATGGCTGTTTTAGAGGGCATGATTTGCGGAGATGATTATACTCCCATGGTGGATAAGTCAGCAGCGAACACCTCAAATGTGGACCCAGCATTAGGTGATAGTTTTGACATTATCATGGTAGATCCAAAAAGGAAACGAATGGAACTTGCGCCCACCATGTTGCATGATAATACTAGGAGACAGGTGGGTCCTGGGATACGGCTACTCATGATGATGGTGTTGAAAAAGCCACTAATGATGGAAGCTTTCAAAATTTGAATAAGAAAGGAGATATGGCTGTTTTAGAGGGCATGATCTGCGGAGATGATTATGCTCCTATGGTGGATGAGTCAGCAGCTAACACCTCAAATGTGGACCCAGCATTAGGTGATAGTTTTGACATTATCATGGTAGATCCAAAAAGGAAACGAATGGCGCTTGCGCCCACCATGTTGCATGATAATACTCCAGCTGTTTTGGGCAGTACTTCAGTTTCAAAAAATGGGCCATTGGCGGGTTCTGCGAGTCAGACCCGCCGCCAGACATGAGTACTATCAGTTGGAACTGTCGTGGGCTTGGCAACCCACGAGCAGTACGTACTTTACGGGACATTATAAATGATAAGAAGCCGACTTTTATTTTTCTTATTGAGACTCTTTGTCATTCAGATAAAGTTGCAGAAATAAAGACTTTATTAAATTATGATGGTTTTGTTAATGTTGACTGTGTTGGCCATAGCGGCGGTTTGGCATTATTATGGAAAGGTGTTTCGTCAGTTAATATTATTAGTTCTTGTTCTAGATATATAGATGTTGAAGTGGATTTGCCCCATTTTGGTATTTCGCGACTTACAGGCTTTTATGGTGAACCAAATAGAAACAGAAGAAACAATTCTTGGCAGCTACTTCGTGTTTTAGCTTCTCACAGTGATTTGCCTTGGCTGTGTTTAGGCGACTTCAATGATATCCTTGGTTCGTCTGAAAAGAGAGGGGGAAGACCTCATCCTACTCATCTTATTCGGGGATTTCAAGCTGCTATCTCAGATGCACATCTGTATGATTTTCCTATGTCTGGTTATGCCTTCACTTGGGAACATGGTCGCACTAGTGGCAATTTAATTGAGGAAAAACTTGATCGTATTTTGACTACTGACTCTTGGCGTCGAAAATTCTCTCACGCCCGAGCTATGGTTCTTGACAAATCTTCATCCGACCATCTCCCGATCTACCTTGAACTACGTCACTTTATGCCTCGGGCTCAGGCTAGACGATTCCGTTTTGAGAACAGCTGGAGGAGGGAGGCGGCTTGTAAGAATCTGATTATGGGTTGTTGGGCGCCTTGCTAAGAATCTGATTATGGGTTGTTCGGTTAGCAGACGGTCGAACTTTGGCTCTGGGTGATAGGCTTTCTTTCGGCTGCAGAGCACTCCTTGAGATTGGGGGGAAGAACTTCCGCCGATTTCAGAAAGCCGTGAATTTGCGACTTGCATGCTATCATCAGTTGCTCTACAAGAGGCTTTTTCTTCGTACCGCAGGAGAATACATGTCCCGGTTTTTTGGAGGCCAAAGAACGGTATCCAGGAATTAGTTACAAACCGGGAAATTTTTTGGAAAACAAAGCTGCCAAAGAGTTCTGCGTTACAGGAAGGTGACTGCTATACCCCGTTTCTTCCATCGACCGTGCTACACGCTCCGACAACAACGAAATCGGATTTCTGCCCTCAGAGGGGATGACATCTGGAAACTGGTGTCACTTGCAAATTCCGGGTTAGAGGACCTCAGGTACGGTTCTTTAACTAATGTGTTTGCTTTCCCAATTGCACCTCTACATTGGTTTCCGATCCCAGAATTGCACCTCTACATTGGTTTCCGATCTTATTCAGCCTGTTCTCACTGAAGCACAAAATGAGTTCTTGTTAGCTCCTTACTCAATTGAGGATGTTCGGGTAGCTGTTTTTGACATGAAGGCCGACAAAGCCCCGGGTCTTGACGGTTTCAATCCCGGCTTCTACCAAGGCTACTGGGATGTTATCGGTAATGATATAGCTCAGAATTGTATCGAGATAATCCACAGTGGGTCTATCCCTGCTCATCTGAATGAGACTGGTTTGGTTTTGATTCCTAAGACATCATCCCCCGAGTCTATGTCCGATTTGAGACCGATTGCCCTTTGCAATGTTCTGTTAAAAATCATTACCAAGATGCTTGCACTTCGCACTATCCTTCCGCTCCTGATTTCAGAAAGCCAGTGTGCCTTTGTTGCGGGCAGAAATATTCAGGATAATTGTATTGTTGCTTTTGAAGCTTTACATGCATTCCATAGGAAGACTAGGGGTTCTGATTTTTCTGCAGCCGTCAAAATGGATATCAGCAAAGCATACGACAGAATGGAGTGGTCCTTTCTACGGCTGATGCTAGCTAATTTGGGTTTTAATGCTCTATGGATTAATCTTATCATGTCTAGTCTAACTTCGGTAAAGTATTGGATTTTGCAGAATAATAGAGAGCTTGGGCCCATTCTTCCCACTAGGGGTTTGCGATAGGGAGACCCTTTATCACCGTACTTGTTCATCATCTGTGCTGAAGGCTTATCAAACATGATTCGGATATCTACTCAGCATGGGACTCTGAGTGGTTTTCGAGTTTGTCGAGGTGGCCCATTAATTTCTCATCTATTTTTCGCCGATAATAGTTTGGTGTTTTTGAAGGCTTCAATTCAGGAATCACAATCTCTCAAACATATTTTGGCTATGTATGAGGCAGAATCAGGTCAGCAGATAAATTTCAACAAGTCTTCAATTACTTTTAGCACTAATACCCCTCGGCACTCCCGACATCAAATATGTTGTAACATCCCTTCCCGGTCCACCCGTAAACCCGAATAAACCGAGCCGAGATGCTACAAACTGGATGACTTAAATCCTGACATGCTGACATCATTCACATATGGGCGCGCAAACCAGAAAGTCAGAGGTCTTAATTATATAAAGGATCGCAATGCTGGAACTGCCCGTTTAAACTGTCAATGGGAACCCAAGTCTTCTTTTCCCCGTGCGGGAAGACGAAAGTCCTGTTAAAAAACCGGTTCTTCAGGCTTTACCTAATTACTCTTCATGACAGTCCTTCTTCCTTGTTACCCGCAGACTTGTGTACAGATTAGAACGTATCATGAATCCGACTTCTGGGTGGGTCAGTGGGCGACAATTATTCTCAAGGCATCTCAATCTGGCTTGCTGGGACAATTGGGCCCTTCCCAGAAGTTTGTTCGGCAGCGGCTTGCGACTCTCTTTCCCGAACAAAATTCATCGATTTCATAATAGCCTCCCTGGTAAACAAGGCCTGGAAGCTCTATGGCAAGCCCCGGACTTCATTCGGCTGCACGCGTTCTTGAAAGCAACAACGTATTTTTCCGAATTGTACAACGTTATCCTGGAGCTGATCTCGGCTCAAGATCCAAGCTCATGTTCTGGCGAAGCTATCTTCAAGCTATGTTTGGCGAAGCATTTGGGGGTCAAAGAGTTTGATCCAAAAAGGACTATATATGCGGGTTGGTAGTGGTTCCAACACATTTATTTGGGATTCTCCTTGGCTGCCTGACGAAGAATGTTCTTTTATCTCCTCTCCTAGACCACTAAATAATACTGCTTTCTTGGTTTCGGATCTTATTACGCACAGAAGATGGGATGTTGAGCGAATTAGACGCTTATTTAATGAAAGAGATATTGCTTGTATCCTCTCTATTCCTTTAAGCAATCAGATGGGAGATGACCGCGTTTGTTGGAAATTTGATGCAAAAGGTACTTACACAGTCAAGAGTGGTTACAGGCTACTTCTGCATAATCCTCTTGCATCACATTTTCTGTCTTCTATATGTTGGACTCGACTGTGGAAGATGAAGATTCCTCCCAAAGCACTTAATTTCATTTGGCATGCCGTATGTGATGTTCTTCCTTGTAGGAGAAATTTACGCTCTCGAAGGATGGACATTCAAGATATTTGCCCTCTATGTCTTGGACACTCTGAAACAACTCTTCATATTCTTGTCAACTGCCTCCCATATTTCTTTATCAAACCTAGCCCTTTCAAGACAGGTTTGGATCTTTCCCATCTCTGGGTATCAGTGGTCTTCGCCTACGTCTTTTTGGGAGTGGTTTCAGCAAGCTCATCGCTCATCCACTTTGGAGAAACTTGAACTATATTCTCCTATGGTGTGTTTGGGCAATTAAAGATCGGGTCACTGGAACCTGATATCGGTATGGCGCCAAAGAAAACACGGAAATCCCACGGGGCGGTAAATTCTCTTCCTAGCTACGGGAGTTCTGGCGACGCAAGGAAGGATGCTCAGCGTTCATCGTCGGTGTTCCTTCTCCAGTCACCTTTGATCGCTACTTGGACTTCACCCCGCTTAATCTGGTTAACAAAAGTTGAATAATAGATGCCCTCAAAAACTGGAGTGGCCACTGGTTATGTGGGGTTTCGCGCACACATAGTTTCGAAATTCCAGCCCTCCTGAGTTTTCTGCTTCGGCAAAGCGTGGAGATTTCCGGGATTCTTTCAGCTGCTACGGTGGCGGGGCCATCGCCGTGCGAGAAGCTTGAGCCTGGATCCAAGGATCACGGATGGAATTATATTTTGTTGCGCAAACTGAACCTCCAGTCAGCTTGCCACATGCCATCACAATGATTCTACAAATGAATCGTTCTGCTCTTTCTTGGTTTGAAATTCAGGACTGCAGACCTTCTTTGTCTCGAGATACCAGTCGCCAAATGTATTTTAATTTACTAGTCCTATATACGAATGTGGCTTGCACATAGGCTTTCTTAGCAGGTTGGAACACACATCCTCCGAGCCTTGCGCTTCGGGAGTTTGGCATTCTATACCACCTCCTCAGTTGGAACACATTCCGAAGCTGGCTTGGGAGTTTGGGATTCTATACCACCTCCTGTTCTACTTGATTTCTTGATTTCATAATAAAATATTTCCCATTTTAACTTCAAAAAAAAAAAAAAAAGAATTGAGGCTATAACGGGAATTTCAAGCCAAATCCACGTCATCTGTGCGTTACATAGCCAATTTCACATCAGCTACGCATTACATGGCAAAAAATCCAGCAGTTTGTCGCCAGGTCAGCTGCCACATCATTAAACATGCGTCTCACACGAGTATAATCACTTTTTCGATTTATCACATCATTTGGAGACATTTAATTGCAAAATTTTATGAATCTAGATACTTAATTATTTTCGTTTTTCGTTGAGATACTAAAATAGAAAAAAAAAAGTGAAAGTTCAAATACCAAAGATATAATTATCCCTTCCATTTATGATTTGTTTCTACAACAAATCAATCTATCTATACTATATATAAAAGTAGGAACAAGGAGAATAATGAAATTAACTATAATGTCCTTACTGAAATTTTAAATGTTCTGATGATATTATTAATAACCAATTAAATTGTATTTTAAATATTATAATTAATAAATAATTAACGTTCCGCTAATTCTCTTAATTGATGTTTTGACTTTAGTTAAAAAGTTAAAACATTAAACACTATATGAAAAAAGTACTGCCGACCAAAGCTAAAATCACACAATAGAAATTGGGTTTGAAATACTTGCAAAATCGAGGAGAAGAGGTTCTTACTTATAATCATCTAATAAAAAAAATATCTATACAAATTTAAACTTGTTTAGGAACAGCTTTTGAACTAACTCTCTCTATTAACCGTACCATTTAGTAATATAATTTTTATAATAGTTTTCGGAGGTTGATATTAAATACTGTAACGCTTCATGTTTCAACAGAGATTAATTAGTTTTTTTTGACAAAAATAACCATTGTTTTTTTCTCTCAAATTAAACAACTAATATTATTTTTTATCATTTTAAAATTAAACAATTATTTTTACCGAATATTTCTAATTTAAACCGTTATATAAAACAACTAAAAGTTAGCAGCTAATAACAGCTAATAGAATAACTAACAACTATTTTTTGCAAACCGAAGAATATGTTATTTTTTACAAGTCATTTGGAAAACACACAAAAAAATCCTCTTAGATAGAAAAATTAATTCCTAAACAAACAATTCGGTAAAGTAATCTCCCCTTTAAACAAACACTGAAAATATCATAATTGATGATTCATAGTAGCTGACACAACAGAGGCTATATTATATATGAGGCTATATTATATATATATATATCTATAATATATATAATTATCGGAAGTTATATATATATATATATAATTTATTCGAAGTACAAATTTCTGCAAATAAGCTTATATGAGATAATTGATAATAAAAATTAATTTTTATTGGCAATTTTGTAACAGATAATGCATGAAAAAAATATACAACCTAAGCCACCATTTGATTGCTGAGAAAGAATTAGAAAAAAATGGAGAAAAGATCAAGCGCCCGTTAATTGGTAAGAAAAATATTCAATTAAAAAAAAAAATCTACAAAAACAGTTATCGTGTTCATTTTTTTTAAAATTATTTTCCAAGAAAATAGAAATTTTCATTTTTCCAATTTTACAAAGAAATTTTAATTTTTCGAAACCACGTTTTGATTAGCTCTACAAACGCGCTGGGACTTTGGTAATTAAAATCAAATTCCCTCTCTCTCTGATCTTTCGCTCTCGTGCACCCTAACCTCTGTCTCTTTCGCACTCACCACTAAATCGAGTCCTAGCTCTCTCCTTCGTCGCTGCGTCTCCCCAACTTCGCTCATAGTTGTCTTCAAGCTCGCCTCTTGGTGGTCGGGCTTTTTCTTTCTTTCTTCCTTCGTAAATTGATTGGTTGCTCGTAAGAATTATTGAATTCAAATTTAATTAAATTTAACTGAGATTGGAGGTAGATTAGACCAATTGGGAATTTGAGTTTGGGACTACTGGATTAGGCAGTTATATGAGATTCTGTCTTTTATGGTTTTGGCTTTCTTCTTATTTTTGTTTTTCTTGTAAATTCTTTAGTTTGTTGTTGCTGTCTTGATTTTGTGTTTCTATTTTTGCATAGAGTTTTCTTCAACAGAGTGCCTGCTGATTCTGATTCAAAAAGAGTAAAAGCAAGCTAATCCTCATCTGGTTAATCAAAAAGGTATGCTACTGCTAATCCCCCATTGGATTGAAGCTGGTTCTGTTTTATCTGGTATTGGTTTATTTGAAGCACAATTGAGTAGTTGTGCTTATGCGTGTTTGATTCCATTTGGGTTTTTAGTAGCGATAATGGTTGTTCTACTAAGACTGTTTATTTGGTTAGCGAGTTGATGACGGTTGGTGCTATTTGGGTGTGTGATTGTTTTCTGAATTCAAACATCAGTTTGTCAGTTATTGTATAGCTGGTTGTAATATAAGCTTTCTTGTGTTGTTAAAGTTTAGAATGATAGACAAAAAAGGAAATTGAGGTTTGTTACTTGGTTTTCTACGAAGTACTTGATTTGTGTTAGAGAAGTTAAAGAGGATTGGTCGGGGCTTTCGTTTTATCTAGGATATAGAGTAAGTTTTGGTTTTTTCAGAGCAATGGTTAATTGCATGGCCTGGTTATATGTGTATATATATATATATATATATATATGAGCAGTCTAAGTGAAGGGTCAATGTGGGTTTTGTCACTTGAAATGGAATTCTGTAATATTATTGAAGGATCAAGGATTATTGTTTCACTTGTATCATGGACTCTGCTAGAAATTAATGTAAATGACGGCAGAGGGTTAATAGAAGTTGTAAGAAACATCTCACATTAGCTTGCCAAGACAAAATGATTGATTAATAAGGGTCCTCCTGAGATGACCTTAGTGCATTATTATTATTATTATTATTATTATTGATTGGCCCATTAACAAACATAAGTGGAAGCTTAACATCTTGTTAACAATCATTATTTCGCCTCTTCAACAGGGTTCATTCATGATTAACCTATAATCCTATGTATAAAAACTCTCTTGTATCATCTCTCTAATTTTGACTGTCTTATTTAAAAGTTTTTTTTTTTTTTTTAACAATACTAACTAAAACATTTAAAAGGTTTTTTTGTTAAAAATATAATTCATTTATAATTACCCTTACTAATTCATGCATTTATATAATCTACAAGTGGCCTATCTTTATATTTATGGGGAAAAATACACCTCACGCTTTCATTACTGTTTTCTTTTATGCAGCAATCTTTATGTTTATGAGAAAAAAGTTAATTTGAAAAATTAAAATAAAAATTTTTGAGATAAAAAATATGAAAAATATAAAATAAAAGTATGAAAAACAATTGTAATTTGAATACTTCTTTCATTTTCTAGAGTTAGAAAATAATTTTCCAATTATTGCACATGAACTAATCTGCTCTTTTTTCTATTTCTACTGAAGTGGAAAATAGCCAACAGAGAACTCTTTTCCAAAAATGAACAGGGCCTGAAATTTCTACGTTTTTCCTACAAAAACTATTACGAACATAACACAGCATGTATTTGAATTTTGAAAATTGCAAATAAAGCATGGAGACAGTCAGAGGAGAAATTCTTAGTTGGACAGAGCCAAGCACAGTTTTAATCCCTATAAACCCAAACAACCTTGTGCCTCTTCTTCTAGTATTCAAAACAAAATTGTTATTGTTATTTAAAATAGTGATTGGAACGGATAGAAAATGAAGCCAAAGGTGCCAATGCAGAGGCAAGAGAGCATTAGAAATGTTGATTGGCTAGAAGCAGAGGCCAGCAAAAAGGCAGGACTGAAGGTATATAGGAGAGGATGGAAAATTAATATTTTAATTGTCAAATTATAAGAGATATGATGTGTTGTTAAATTATTAGTTTAGTCTATTATTGCTAACGTTGTAGGCTTGCACTCTCTTTCTGAAAACGCTATTTTTGTTTAATCGGCGAATTTAATTTATTTTATTGGTGATTGAATTTTAATTTTCAATGTCCCATTGTTTGCTTATTTTGGTTTTGATCGATTGGGATTTTTGCTTACCTTTTTACAGTTTTGGCTGATATCAGAGTTTCATTGTATTCTTTGTTGTCATTGGAGTGATTTATGTTGTATTGATGTCCAACTCTTTTGAATAATTTTAGTGTTAGTTAGCTGAAGTTGTTGAGATAATCTTGTTTTATATCTATCTCATTCCAAAAAACCTTGAATGCACTACCCAGAATTGGCAGTTCGAGAGTAATACTTCCAATTACCTAATAAGATCAATGGTTACCAGCTCATGTTTATTTATTTTCATTCCCATAGCTTGCTGGAAGAACAATGGTCGCTTTACTGTTTTTCACTCAAGCTTCTCCATAATTTAGATGATTTCTTGCCTCATGATTCTAGATATCAATATTAGTGCAAAGCGAGTTTGATGGATTTTGATTTGGACCCTTTTGAGGATATACTTAATCAACCGTCTTCTGTGCATGGTAAGTGCTGCCCTGGAAATCATTGTATTGTGGCTTTGTTTTTGACTTCTTTTACTGTGAGGTGTGGTTCATTTGTCATTAAATTTTTTAGCAGCTCGAGCGGGAGGGAAGTTTCAACCGAAGGCCAAACCACGACCAAAGAAGGGAACATCTTCATCACGTTCTTCTACGCTCCCAAGCAATGCCAAGGATGTTTCATCATTTTCAACAACCTTGGACACAACAAAATCTGTTCGGTCAATTGATACTGTGGATGATGGATTGACAAGTCCAGTTGATTCTTCTTTAGTTTCACCAGCATTAATTGAGACTAAAGAACACTTGGAGAACGATAAAGGTAACCTGAAATTTAAGCCAGTGAACTCTTCAGGCTCACTTGTCACAGCAAGAGAGTATATTGCTTCTCCAGATGTCGTGCCTTCAGAGATTGTTGTGAGTAGTAGCAACAACAATGAAGATTCTATGTTGTTAATAAAAGAGGTCAATATTTACGATTAATTCTATAAAAAATGAATGATTGACTAGTTTAATTACTGTGCTGAATTTCTGTTAATTTTAGGCAGATTCTTTACAGCTTGATTTGGACTCTCTTGCCTGCATTGCTTCTGATACTGCAAGCAAAGGTAAGTTATTGTGCAGTGTGCCTTGCTATCATCCCTTACATGAGAATCCATCCTTGCATGATGGGATACAATATCATCTATGATTTTACACAGAGAGTGTTGGTTATGAGTCTCAACCTAAGGCTGAACTTCAACCCACTGATGAAACTTTCACATCAGTCAGCTTGAAAATTCCTGATGGTTCAAATAATAAGTCAGAATCTCTTCAATTGGTTGATGTGGCAGATGATGGATATAGGGAACCGGTATCTTTGTCCTTGACTACAACTTTTGTGGATGGAGAGCCTTTGAAAGATTTTGATGGTTCATCCTCACATGAAAAAGGGAGCTTGGAAGCAACAAACCTCTTGCTTGCAAGGATGGAGAATGTGGGCTCAATGGATGCTCTGGATTCAGAGGCTACAAGATTCGATGGTAATGGTAATTGGAACTCTAGCTTTGTGAAATCAGTTGAAGACGTAAGAATTGCTCTCTTGTTTCTTATATCCCTGTAGTTGCGTCTATATGATCCTGAAACTTCATTTGGTTTTAGGTAGGCTCCTTGGAGTTTGATTTGGATCCATCAAATATTATGCTTCCTGGTGCAATTAATTGTAAGTTACACGTTACTGACATCATCAGTTTTTTGCATATGAAAATCTGTTCTTGTATATGGGAATTGAGAACTAGATTTTCTGTTGCAGCTAGGGCTGATGAAAAGTTTCAACCTAAGCCGAATGCTAAGACCGAGTCCAAAAATGAAATTCCTGTGCCATTCCCTCCGTTGCCTTCTAATTTAACAATGGAACAACCTGCTGCACTTGCTTTGGTTGACACACATACGACACAATCTGTTCAATCTGTTGATTTCATGGATAAAAATATGGACCCAGTTAGTTCATCTTTGCCTCTGGATATTGATAGAAAGGAACCTCTAAAGGATGATGAATTTCTATTCCCTGATGATAACTTGGAATTAGTAAACCCCTCATCCAAAGAACCTGCACACAAGCAGGATATTAGCTCCAAAGATGCTAAGCTTGCAGAGGTGAGGTCCAAAAGCTATGGTCCAGGGCATTCTTCTTTCTTAGAATCTGCAATAGAGGTAGGTAGATATGTAATTTTATATTTGCTTCCTATTGCAAGTTGCATTTGGATCATTTCCGTAATTTATTTATGGCTAAAATTATGTTGGTTGTAGGTTGATTCAATGATGCTTGATTTGGATCCATTTGCTGATATCGTTCCGCCACCTGCTATAGGCAATGGTGACTAACAATTCTGCAATTTTCTGTTTCTGTTATATCATGAACTTTTGTGCTTCTAGCTGATATTAGTTTCTGTTGCAGCACGGACTGGAGGCAAATTTCAACCTAGAGTGAAGGCCCGGCCTAGGAAGGGAAAATCTGAGGCAATTGCTCTTGCTGTTTCTAGTACAAATGCCTCAGATAACCTGCAGTCTGCTAATTTTGTTGATACTGGAGATGATAGACTGATAGATCCAGTGCATTCATCTTTAACTACATTGGAGAACATGGAAAGCAAAGAGCCATTGAGAATTGATGATTATTCAAATCCTGGAGTTTACTTATCCAATGAAGACAGGAGTTCAGGATTGGCAAATTCTTCCCAGTTAGTGGCCATCGATTCTCTGCATACAGGTGCTTCAAACAAGGAGACAGAGGGACAATCTGGAAGTTTAGTTCCTAGTTCTGTTAATTCTTCAGTACCCGGAGCATGTGATGTGGCAAACTTAGATGCAGTGACTTGTAACGAAGCTGCTGTTCAGACCAATAACGAAAGGCCAGAGCCAGAGGTGAGGACCCCTACTTATGTTAATTCTATTCTTTTTTGAAAGTTCATAGTGATTTAATTGTCATTTGGTTAGTTTCAGGAGTCAGGGTCCTTTCCTAACTTGGAAAATCCAGATATTCTAACTGATTCCACCATTGTATCTGGTATGTCTAAACTAGCTGTCTGTACTATATGGCACATTCTTCTGAGTTGTATTTTGATTTCGCACAAATTTTTGTTGATTTCAGAGCATTCCACCAGAAAATTCCAGCCAAAACTCAAAGAACAAATTGGGAAAGAGAAACCTACTGTTAGCATATTTCCCCCAGATGCACTTGAGTCTGCCGTGCCTACCTCAGACAGTCACTTTGTTCCTTCTGTACCTTTATACATCAATGAGGGTTCTATTCCTTCCTACCCATCAGATGATGTTTTTGATTATTCCTCTATGAGCTTTGGCAACTTCGTTTCTCCAGATCCTACTTTTTCTGAGTTTCCAGTGAACGAAGAACAAACAAACCTCACGGAAGCTTCTCACTCCAGTGACAGAAATTTATTGCACCAAGAAGATTTACCTGAAGTGCCTGAAATGGAGGTAACTTTCTTCAAAATAAATAAAATGCTTCACTAAGCTTGAGTTGATCTGGTTCTGACTTGTTTGTGTTTTCTTCTCAGAGTTCTAAGAGTAGAAAAAGAAAATCTTCTTCTGTATCAAACACTTCTCAGACGTTCAAACAATCGTCCTTAGCCAGTGGGATGAATGAAAGTGAAGAATCATCAAAGAGACTGAGAAAAAGGACTGCTTCTATGCAACTTGTTGACTCCTCAGGAGATGAAGCTCATGATAGCGATGGCTTCCCTTCTGAACCGCCTAGTAATTCTAATGCAGATGGAGAAGATAATGACTATGATTATAGAGTTGATGAAGATAATGGTAATGGAGATGGAGGGGAAAACACATCCTGCAAAAAAAGAACTTCAAAAAGGTCAAAGAAACCTGTGGGTGAGAGGACAAAACCAGTTAGAAGACGAAAGACTGACAATGATGTGCCGGAACAAACTCAAAAACCGCGCAAGAAGTTTTCTCATTCCACTCGTCGAAAAAGCAGATGTAGTTTCAATATTTATGTGTCAGTTAAAATTGAAAATTATAATTTCACATCTTTATGTTACTTAATTTCATTCTTCTATGCAGTGAAAGATTTGCTTAGCATACCAGAGGATGAAGTTGATTATCAAAGAATGCCTTTCAAGGATATTATTTTGCTTGCTGGATATAAGGAGAAATTAGCTGTATGTAGTCTGTTCCCTAGCTGTTATGATGTTATTTTTGTTTTGAAATAACTACAATTTCTTCATCAATAGCATTTCAATAGCCTAACTGTTGGCTGATAACAACATTCTGGTTTTCTCTGATTGACTACCTCTTTTTTTCAGGCACAAGAGGCAAAAGAGGCAAAGGATGCTGCAGCCAAAGCAAAAGCATCAAAGGATGCCTTAGCTAGTGAAAGGTATGGAATTAATGGTGAGGCATAGATATCTGACTTTTATGTTCTTGTGTTACTTGTTCTGATCATTTTGTATGAAATTGTTGCATCTGAATTAACATGTGTATAATGTATCCCCGACATTCTGGATGTAAATGAAAGCAACAGTTTACTGGCTTTTTGCACAGTTAGAATGACATATTGTTTACGATCTGTACGCTCAAGCTTAGTTGTTGTTGCATACTCTTACCAATTGCTTCTGGGACCAGGGCCGTAGGATTGCTATTCAAAGCTTTTAGAATCCAAACCCAGTTTATGTTTTCGTGCGCGTGCGCATATCTGATTATTGGATTCTGTGTTGGGCCAAAATTCAACTTGGTTTTGAAATCTGATAAATTGAAACTTTTGTTTAAACAAAAGCCAACAGCATATTATTCTTGTCCCATTTACACACAAAAAAACAAATAGAAATCTGGAAAATCCTTATATAACATACAAACTGCAATTATTGGCTCGCTGAGGACTAATGTGCTATTGAGATATTACCTGTCGTGTTACTTGTGATCAACATCTGGCATGAACTCGCTGTTAATATTCAATGAAAACTAAATTAAAATGAATGATCCACGTAAAGCATGCTTCTATTTTTTAGAACCTAAGGAAAAACTATTCAGAGGACAATGCAGTAATGTGCTGGTCTAGTTTTTGCTTTGATATTTGCAGATTACATTAGGCCAAAAATAATATATCTATACACACGCACGCACGCACACACTCGTGTGTGCTTGCGTGTGTGTGTGTGTGTGTGTGTGTGTGTGTGTGTGTGTGTATGTGTGTATGTATGTAATGAAGACTTTTTGCCATGGACCACTAACAGATGATCGTATGTAATGGAAAGTGTTTCTCTAAAGAATATGCCTGTTTTCTGCAACATTGCACTTGCAGATAGGAACTATACATGTTATGCTGGTTCTTACAAATATTTTTAGACAATTAGACCCAGTTACTTTAAATCTTTATGGAAGTTAATCTATAGGATGTATCCAATGGGCTTATACTCTGCACCTCTAATTCTTTCCATAGAGAAGGTTCTCATAATGAAGAGGACACAGAGCAAGATGGAGGCTATGCTGATGACCAATCAAACTCCTTATTCAATTACCATTCTTTCATGGACAAAACACCCATTGCAAGATGGTCAAAACAGGACACTGAATTGTTTTATGAGGTATATGTAGCTCTGGTTCTCCATTCATTAAGATATTTATATCTTGTATGATGCCTCAAATATATCGCTGAAAAAGAGTAAATAGATGTGTCTTTTTCAGATTTTGATGTTGATAGTTCCATTTGACTCATGTCTAAACTCTCTATTTGTCGACGTCTCTAGCATGCGCTCAGATATATTTGCAACTTGTTCTGCATTGTGATATGTTAATTTCATGTGCTGCCCTACGCCTTTTTCTTTTTGTGGGGGGTGGGGGTGCTGTATCCATCTACCATATACATTGGGCACAGGAATGATGCATGGTAGATATAGTGGATTGCTGTACTGGTCGAGTGATTGGGTTCATTGGTCTCCTAGTCTCTTCTTGGTGTTCCTGCTGTCAATTAAAATCTTGATATAAGCTTATTATTTCTGTCAAGGGAATGTTCATGTTGATTTTGGTTCTTCATTGTCAGGAGAGATTTCAAGTTTCTTTGATTTTAATTATCTATATGATTTTCGTCTTTATTTTCTAATCCCCTGGATGGTCAATGCTTTAGTTTGAAATAAGACTAAAATGCACTTGGTTCCTCAAATTATATTCTAATTAACAGTTCCATCCCTTTGTTTTTGCGAAATTACTATGATGTCCTTAACTTTTGCTTAACTTACTATCAAAGCCTTTCGTCCAAAAAGTCAACACTTTACCATTAGTCAAACGCACTTTTGTATGGAGTATGCTCATATTTTGGATGGAAAGTGTTGTTTTTTGGACGGAAAGACTTGATAGTGAGTTAGTAAATGTTAGGAATGTCATAGTAATTTCTCAAAAATACAGGGACATAAGTGTTAATTAGGATATAATTTAGGCGCCCAATTATATATATTTTACCCTTCAAATATGGTTCTCCATGTAGGAAAAAGAAAGATGTGTAAATGCTTTGAGAGTTTTACACAGGTATTGAGTACTAATGGTAGTCTCTCTAAAGAGATACCCTGGACAGAGCTATTGATTAATGACCAGTTCGTAATCCTTTAATTTGTTATAGGATTCTTTCTTAGCCGTTTCTTCAGTTTATGCACATTTTTGGAATCTTGCCCGTAACTTAGTAGGGAATCAACATTCTGTCTAGCCATCAGCTAAGCTCTTTCACGTCTATATTCAATAGGAGAACACTGCTACACTGTTATTTTAAACTATTAATAAAACTGAGAAGATTCTCATGTTATCTCATGCTCCCTCTATGATGCCTCATGGGCCTTCCAATTGCAACTATATTTCTAATTTATTTGTTATTCCTGAGACATACACTGAGACAGAGAGTGAAAACCAAGGGGGTTGGGGCAGTGTTATTGAAGAGTGTACATTAACCACTTGACAGCTGACAAGTATTATTTGCATGAGCAAGATTAAGACTGTCTGAATTGATTTCTTTCCACATTTTACCACATTTTGAAAATAAATGTTGACCAGATGATGTTAGTTGCCTCTACACTTCATTTCTTTTCTGGCAAAGAACATTTACAGTAAGGCTGGTAGAAAGTTAGAAAGGAGATGGGTGATGGTGTTGTATGCATTTGGTTGGGGGGTGGGTGAGTGGGTTTGAAGAGGTCAGCAACTGTGTTCCTTCAGCAGAGAAAACCTCTTCATCAATACAGCAACCGGCTATTTGCAGAGTAATGCTGTGTTGTTCTGACTATTTAAATCATCCTACATCCATTACATGCGTATTTAACACCATCTTTCTCTAGTTGCTGTTACCTCCAAGCTTCTGAATCTAACCCTAGAGTGGCTCAGTTGCACTCATGCAATGGTTTTTATTTGTAGCAAAGCAACTTTTTGTGACTCTGTTTTAAATGTCAATGCTTTCACGATTCCACATGTCACGGTCATGTTTCCTGGCCTTGTGTGGTAGAGTTGATTAAGCTTATTTTGGTATGCCTGCTGTTTAGTTGGACTTAGCAGTGGGGTGAGCTTTCACCCTTTTTCTATTGCACATACAAGTGGTATAAAGAAGCTGGAAATAAAAATGGACAGGTGAAGATTCAAGAAAGAGTGGGAGAGGAATGATATAAATTTCAACATTCTTTTCCTTTTCATGTGAACATGTAAATTAGAGATGGGGAATAGGGCGGGGAAAAAAAAATCTATATTTCTCCAACAAAAATCTTATCCATTTGATATCTCAAAAGTATAGAGATATTGACATCTTTGGAGATCAAAAGGTTCTTGATCCATACTGTATTATTTTGACTCTTCATGTAATCCAATGCCTTACTGGGCTGTTCTCCTAATTTAAGATTTTAGCTGATATATATATAATATGTGCTTTAGGGAATTCGGCAATTTGGGACTGATCTATCATTGATACAACAACTTTTTCCTGGGCGAACACGTCATCAGATTAAGCTGAAATATAAGAAGGAAGAGCGTCAACATCCATTAAGGCTTTCTGAAGCTCTGAACACTCGCGCTAAAGGTGAGACCATTTCTCATTCTCCCCCTCCTCAACAACCTTTCTCTAGTTTATTTTCTGAGTTAAGGTAAAACAATTGCACTATATTTTCAAGGTGGAGTCAGTCTGAGTTCAATTTATAGTAATCTTTGCACAGTATTCCCTGAATTAGTTGACTGTTCATTAAATTGAAAAGTGGACATGGAATTTTGAGATTGAGGTGTTTTTCTCAACTTGAGGGATTTTTCTGGACTTCTCATCAATGATGGTCACTGACAGGCCATAGGCCTTATTGCTGAATTTGCATTTGAAAATAATTCATTGATGTAGCTTGATATTGAAATTAGATTCCCTGGAAGTATACTTGTCCTTTTCAGTATGCAATAATTTGTATTTCATTATGCAATGATGTGTCTATTTGGCTAAATCTAATATGTAAACTCTAAAAGCTGTATCGTCAATACTGTCCACGCACAGTAAAAGATGAGACATAAGAAGCACTGATGTACCAGTTTCTGCTCGACTTTCCTGGGAGCAAGTCAGAAGAATTAAAATTTTATAAAGTAAAATGTTCTGCTGAAAATATGGTGTTTTGACATTTTTCTCTCACAGATAATTCATATTTCGAGAAAGTGATTGAGCAGCTGCAACAAGTTGCTGCTCAGGCAGAACAGGAGTCTAATGGAGATGACATGATCGGTCCAACAGATGAGGAAACAGAGTTGAATCCTGAAACCAATGTATGCTTTCTATTCTTTACCCTATGTTCCTTTAGACGATGCAATGCTATGTACTGCTAGATTTCTGGAGAAAAGTTACTTCTGTCTCTACATTCCTCAATTAAATGTCGGAAGAAATTGGATTAAATGTTCCAAAATGATTAGTTCAAATGCTATTTTTTGATTCACAGAAAAATAAAAATTCACATATTACAAATTCATTCACTAATGTGCTTGCAGGAGGAAGCAGAAGCGGCAAAATGTGAATGGGATGAGGAAGCAGCAGTTGAAGAAGATCAAGGAGATGCAGGAGATCCTTCAAAATATGAACAAGAAGAAGATGATGACTTGGATTTATGGAGTTCGTATAAAAGTGAAATTTAAATACCATATTGTATGAGTTTTTTTTATTTATTTTTTTTTATTTTTTTGCAGTTGCTTTTTGTTTGGCATCAGTAGACAATATTTCTATCTAGTGCATGATTATCCATAGAAATGAGTTAATCAAACGGTTGGGTGGAGGCTGGTGTCTGGTAGGCAGTAGCATTCATATGGCGCCTTGCTGTATTATTTTTACCTATTAATATATAGTAGCGAAGTAAACGCCTTAGGCTTTACCAAATATCTCACTATTTAATAGTTTATCGTCAGAATTGAGACAGCTCGGCAGCAGTCATAGTCAAAGACTGGGTGCAGAGCATTTTCTTAAATTTATTAATCTTTTTTTATTTTTTACAGATAATCTAAAATTCTTAATTCCCATCTGTCCATTGCCAATTAGCAGCATTATTTCCAAAAAATAATGTTTTCCTTTTCTATGGCAAGTAAAAACCCAAAACACTTTAAAATATCAGGTGAAAGCTGATTTAAAAAATGCTTCCTCTGTTTATAAATATAAGTTTAGGATAGTTTTCTGGTCTATAAATAGTAGTTATTGTGAAAATAGTTATTGATAACTAATGAAATTTTTTTAATTTTTCTTTTATTTATATTAAAAAATACAATAATTATATATATAAAATTTTCTGAAGAGTAATTTAATTAAATTAACGAATATTTGGTTATAATTCAGCAGAATTAAATTTGTGAATGGAAGGAGTACGAATCAGTAAAATTAGACATATATGTTTGAGCTTGCAAGTCCAATGATTGCCATTTATATTAAATATTAATTTTTGTTTTTTTGACTCTGATACTTGTGAAAGCTACAAAAGTGGAAATGGCTTGCTAATAGTTATTATATGGAAGAAAGCTACAAAAGCAAAAACAATGAACGTTAAAGAGAGGGTGCAGCAAATAAATAATTGACTGTTATTTTGACTAGTCTAAAGCAGCGCCTCCCGCGGCGATGATTTTTGGCGGTCCTTTTGCAATTATTTTGTTTTGTCACCCCTCCCCTTCCTTTTATAATTATTTTTACATATATATCATAATTTTATATCTTATACATATTTATACTAAATTTTATTTTCTATTTTATATCAAATAGTAAATTATATAATATATTTCTCAATAAATAATAATATATTACATTTATTCTTTATAAAATAAATTATTTATCAAAAATAATTATAATCAATCAAATTAAATAATTTTTTAAAAGTAAACATATTATATTCTTACCATATTTAATATTTATCTTATATAGTATAGCATAATCAATCAAAATTAATAATAAGTTAAAATCTGTAAAAATATTATATTCTTACGATCTTACCATATTTAATATAATACCTTATATATAGTATAATTTCTTAGTTTATCCAATATAATTTGAATTTAAATAGAAAATTAACATAATCAATCAAAATTAAATTACGTTTAGTTTTTCAACCAATGAAATTAAAATCTTAAAATCCTTAAAAATATACATTTATCTCTTTACTAAAATAAGATTATTTATCAAAAATAATTATAATCCAATCAAATTAAATTAATTTTTTAAAAGTAACATATTATATTCTTACCATATTTAATATTTATCTTATATAGTATAGATAATCAATCAAAAATTAATAATAAGTTAAAATCTGTAAAAATATAATTCTTACGATCTTACCATATTAAATTTATAATACCTTATATTATAGTATAATTTCTTAAGTCTTATCTCCAATATAAATTTTGGAATTTTAAATAGAAAATTAACATAATCAATCAAAAATTAAATTACGTTAGTTTTTCAACCAATGAAATTTAAAATCTTAAAATCCTTAAAAATATTAATCTTAAAATCCTTAAAAATATTATATTTAATATACCTTATATATTGTATAATATAATTTATTATTTTATCCAATAGAATTTATATTTATTTCGATATATCCAATTTATTTCAAAAATAATTTTTTTCCTATTTTGCTAAGAAGGCTTAATAGCCAATTTGACCCTTGTGATTTTAAATATGTCCAATTTGGTTAAGAAAAAATTTTTGACTCAATTTAATCCATTATTTATTTTCCTATTTTGTTTTGAAGACTAGAAATTGATAATTGCACTACCATTATGACTCATCACTTACTATGTCTAAGTCCATACCTTACCAAAAATAAAAATAAAAAAAATAAATCTTTACCTTACGGCATATGGTGAGGCCAATTTGACCCCTGTGATTTTAAAATATATCCAATTTGGGTCACAAAATATATATTTTTAAAATAAATGCATTATTTTCCTATTTTGCTAAGTAGACCAATAACTACTAAATGATACTATCATTATCATTCAACGGTTACAAATCTAAGTCCATACCTTACTCTATATAATAAAGACTTAATAGCCAATTTGACCCCTATAATTTTTTTTTAAAATATAATTCATTAATAATAATATTAAAAATTACAAATACTTATATAAACAAGACATAGATCTCTACTCTTAGTGGCTCATAGGATTCACTGATCTTTTAATAAAGTAAAAGAATTCGTATTCTTTTAAACAGTGAAGCTAAAATTAAAAAAAATATAATATTAGATCTATCCGGTTGGAGTTGATATTGACAAAAGATATAAATCTTCATAGCAACACCTAGTCTGTTAATTGATTTGGACGTCAAAATAATTAATCCCTTGAATCTTTATAACTGGATTGTTTTTCCAAGATTTATAACGCATGAGGAATACGGATGAGTTGCCGTCACTATGCATCAATGGAGGAAAAGAACGCACTACCAGATTCCACTGATCGAAAATTCACACCTGCAAATTAAGATTTAAAATCCCCAACCAAATAAAATCAAATATCATAATTTTATTTAATAATAAACCCGCGCAAAGAAGACAAAAAAAAAAAAAAAAAATTATAAAACCCGCGCAAGGAAGACAAAAAAAAAAAAAACTCCAATATAGAGGACCAAACCAACAATAGCAAAAAACAAATAAAAAAAAAGGACAGATAGAAAAAACATATATAAGTTTATTAAAGCAAAATAAAATTGAAGGAGGAGAGTAAAAAAAAAAAAAAAAAAAAAAACTCCAATATAGAGACCAACCAACAATAGCAAAAACAAATAAAAAAAGACAGATAGAAAAACATATATAAGTTTATTAAAGCAAAATAAATTGAAGGAGAGAGTAAAAAGCAAGAGGTAGGGGCTACAGTTGATAAATGACAATACCCAAATTAAAACTAGGGTTAAAAGACTAGAGAGAAAAGTGATCCCCATAATTTTATATATATCCAATTTGGTTTTTTTTTAAAAAAAAAAAGAGTAAATTGTAGATATAGTCTCAGCAATTATTTTTTATATTTTATGTAAATAAATCTTTTCTTCTTAGAAAAATAATAAAACAATGCCCTTTATAGTTTTGATAATTTTATCAATAAAAATATTTGAATTTAAATTTTGAAATTTTAATTAAAATGAAAAATCATTAGTATTTCAATTTTGCTTTTATCTCTACCAACCATTACCAGTTTACCACCATAGCCTTTATAGCATCATCCAACCTCCCTTTTGGACCCAATTGAACCTGTTTGAAAAATCACAGGGATCAAATTGTCATTTAAGTCACATCGTAAATCTACCGCCGGCAGAATCTTAATCTTAATTCGATACACCAAGAGTACCTTCTTTCTTATATTGCCACATGGAATTCCTGACCCGAAGCCCCAAAAATACTGGACCCCACTCCCCACCCAATTAGGTCTCCTACTCTAAAGCCAACTATCATTTTCTCTCTCCACCTCTCTCCCCCTCTCTCTCTCTCTCTCTAAAAACGCTCTCATTTTGCCGTCGTTTAATCGGCGAATCTTATTTATTCGATTTATTGAATTTTAATTCTTCTGCTACATATCCTCCTGTAAACCGATCTTCTCGCTTAAAATTCCCTGTCAGACGCATTAATGGCCATCCGATCTATCTCGTGATCTTCGCCCAACATCAATTTTTCCGCAAGGTCCATTTATTTTATTTCTTATTTTTAATTCTCTCAATTTCAGTTGAATTTTGACTTTCTTTTTTGGGTTTTGATGAGAATGTGGGGGTTTTACAGGGTGAATATTGGTTCATTGTTGCTGTTGAGGTTGCGATCCATTGCTTGATTGATCGAGTGGAATTTTTTAAGAGACAAAAGGAAGAGAAGGAAAGGGAATTTTAGTGCTTCGAATTGCGTGCGGAATCCGTGAAATGTCCGGCCCACTAGATCGGTTCGCGAGACCTTGTGAGTGATTCAGTAGAATTTTTGATGTCTCATTGTTTGCTTGTTTGGTTTTGCATCGATTGAGGGCTTTTGAAAGCCTATTACTGTTTTAGTTCATATTAGGGTTTCATTGTAATGTTTTCTTACTGTTTGGTTGCTGAGAAAGTTTGGGAATAGGATGAGAAGTAATCTTAATTTTTTTTCTTAGTTCTTAGGTTTATTATTTTTTTAAAAGAAGCTTGAATTAGGTTACTATACCAGGTTGGTTCTAACAACTGTGTAAAAATCGATATTTTCAATAAATTTAATGTATTGAAAATTTTTTATTTTCAATTGGTGGGGTTTTTCTCTTAATTTGTATCATTACAAGCTGTCTACTGTACCGAATGCCAATGCATATTGTATTATTATATTTATTATTCATTCAGCCTTCATGATAACTGTGTTATTTCTTTAATTTGTTATGTGGTAGGCTTTGAAGGGTTCTCTGGCAGTGATGAGAGAAGAGAGAGAAAATCTGATTTTGAAAACTCTGAGGATGAGAGGCGAACCAGAATCGGTTCATTGAAGAAGAAAGCCCTTAATGCTTCCACTAAATTCAAGCATTCTCTGAAGAAAAAGAGCAGTAGAAGAAAAAGTGATGGTCGAGTCAGCTCTGTATCAATTGAGGATGTTCGAGACGTTGGGGAACTTCAGGCTGTTGATGAATTTCGACAGACATTGATCATGGATGAATTACTTCCAGACAAGTTTGATGATTATCATATGATGTTGAGGTGCTTGGACCTGTAACTCTATGTAGTATTTGTCTTCATACAAGTTGCTGTTTTACCATTATTCTCATAATTGCCTTAGCTATAGATGTACTAATATGAGTTTTTACTGAATAATAGATTATCACAAGAAGTCATGCAACTTAGTAGTTGCTTTAAGATCCAATTATGTTACAAGTTGTGCCTGATTCAGTGTATCTTAATCCATGTTTTCTGAATTTATTATGAAACGCTTTTTTTTTTTTTTTTTATTCAGCTGTTATCTTAATTCCATGTTTTTCTGAAATTTATTATGAAAATACGCCTTTTTTTTTTTTTTTTTGGTCGATTATGAAACGCTTTTTTTTTTTTTTTTGGTGCCTTAGTCACCATCATCTGAGATGCTTTCTTTCTAATACTGGATGATACCATCTGAGTCATTTTCACTCATTTCTTCTTCTAGTATACTGCATTTATGCTCTGACATTGCAATGATTCATCAATATTTCTCATTGTTGGTAGATAGTCACAATTTCAAGTCATAAACATCTTCCAGGTTTTTAAAAGCAAGGAAGTTTGACATTGAAAAAGCAAAACACATGTGGTCCGATATGCTTCAATGGAGGAAGGAATTTGGTACTGATGCTATAGTGGAGGTACTTTATTTGGAGATTTTCTTGAAATTACTTTAGCCCTTTGATTCCATGATACCTTTTCTTATTTCATTGTTGTTTATGGTGCTAATGTTTTCAGGATTTTGAATTTAAAGAGTTTAATGAAGTATTGAAGTATTATCCCCATGGTAATCATGGTGTGGATAAAGAAGGGAGACCTGTTTACATTGAAAGGTTGGGAAAAGTTGATCCGCATAAACTTATGCAAGTTACAACTATGGATCGGTATATAAAATACCATGTGCGGGAGTTTGAGAAAAGCTTCGCGATAAAGTTTCCAGCTTGTACCATTGCTGCAAAGAGGCATATAGATTCAAGCACAACCATTTTAGATGTTCAAGGCGTGGTATGTAGATGTTGCATGTAATAAAAAGAGTGCCATATAAGCTATTAAAATATCTGATCACTCATTTCTTCTTTTTCATTTTAATGTTTCAGGGTCTTAAGAACTTCACCAAGAGTGCACGGGACCTCATCATGCGGCTACAGAAGATTGATGGTGACAATTATCCTGAGGTTTGTTTTGTCAATTTATATGCCATGATTAATTCCTCAAGTTGTGAATCAAAAATTTTGATACCATTGTTAGGGTGCTCAAAGCACTTCACATTATGATTTTGAACTTGTCTGTTCTTTAATCAATGCAGACTCTCCACCAAATGTTTATCATCAATGCTGGTCCTGGGTTTAGATTGCTCTGGAACACTGTAAAGACTTTTCTAGATCCCAAAACCACCTCGAAGATTCATGTATGTGAAACTCTTTTCTTATATGCATTGAAAATATCATTGGTATGTTCTTGTTGGTAATTTGTTGAATGTTTGCTTTTGGTGGAATTCATTTAGGTTCTTGGAAACAAGTATCAGAGCAAATTGCTTGAGATAATTGATGCCAGGTAAAAGGGGCTGGATTTGGCTTAATAAATTTATTAGTATGTATATTCATTTGGACAATTATTCTTCAGCTCCTTATTCTTTTTGTTTTCTTTCAGTTATTTTATTTTCTATTATTCAAATTGTATTGGTTGTACCATAACTTACAACAATTTGCAATTTTTGCAGCGAGTTGCCAGAATTTCTTGGTGGTACCTGTACCTGTGCGGATCAGGGAGGTTGCCTTCGGTCCGATAAGGGACCATGGAAAAACCCTGAAATATTGAAGGTTATTACTGGATCTTTCTATTTGTGATGTAGATGCTAAAGGTTACATATCTATAATTTTACATTCTGTATACTTGTTCGTGATCAAGGAACATTATTTGCTTGCATTTATTTTGTTGCAGATGGTTCTCAATGGTGAGGCACGGCGTGCCAGGCAGGTCGTAAAAGTTCTAAACAGTGAGGGGAAGGTTGTTGCTTATGCTAAACCACATTATCCAATGGTAAGATATCCTAAATATTCATTGATTTCATTGGACATATGGAAAGCTTCTATTTCCTTGTGATTAGGGTATTGACTTCGTTTTCTTGTAGCAGATTAAAGGTAGTGATACATCCACTGCTGAGTCAGGATCTGAGGCTGAAGATATTACTTCCCCTAAAGCACTCAAGAGTTATTCCCATCTTCGGTTGACTCCTGTTCGTGAAGAAGTATGTTTTGATGTTTTAACATATTCTTATGCTAAATATGTTAACCAAACACGTAGTGCTATAGTGATTTAAAATTTAGTTTGCATTATTAATTTGATAACTATTTCCTCTTTTCCTGTTGCCAATTCACAAGTCACATCTGTCAATATTATACCTGGATGACAGCATTAAAAGAAAATGTGCATAGAAGGCACCTTTTATTAAGATCATTGTGGTTGTGTTGTATATAAACCTAGTGCAATAGCATGATCAATCATTGTCGATAATAATTATGTAAATCAGTGTTCAACTAACCAACCAATTATTAGTTAACTGCTTTCTGAAATGTTGCACTGGAGTATTTGGTGTTAGTTTTTCATTTTACTTTGCTTTTAATGGACTTCTAGTCTAAGGTAGTCGGAAAGGCAAGCTTTGCTGGCAACTTCTCAGGGTACGATGAATATGTTCCTATGGTTGACAAAGCTGTTGATGCTGGTTGGAAAAAGCAAGTGTCCATCCAGAGGCCTTCTGTTTCCAAAGGTTAGCAAGTGAAACAGTGTGTACTGCCTATCATGTTGTGAATTTCTTTATTGTTTGCTTATGAATTTTGCTTAAATAATCCTGCACTTCCTATACATAACTTGTAGCTTAAAATGAGTGCAATGCGCAACTTGTTTAATAATTATGTAAATCAGTGTTCAACTAACCAACCAATTATTAGTTAACTGCTTTCTGAAATGTTGCACTGGAGTATTTGGTGTTAGTTTTTCATTTTACTTTGCTTTTAATGGACTTCTAGTCTAAGGTAGTCGGAAAGGCAAGCTTTGCTGGCAACTTCTCAGGGTACGATGAATATGTTCCTATGGTTGACAAAGCTGTTGATGCTGGTTGGAAAAAGCAAGTGTCCATCCAGAGGCCTTCTGTTTCCAAAGGTTAGCAAGTGAAACAGTGTGTACTGCCTATCATGTTGTGAATTTCTTTATTGTTTGCTTATGAATTTTGCTTAAATAATCCTGCACTTCCTATACATAACTTGTAGCTTAAAATGAGTGCAATGCGCAACTTGTTGCCTTTACAGCTTGAAGTCTTGGGCTTGACTTAAGAGTAAGTTACATACTTACAGGTGATAGGTCACTGGCTTACATACTTAATATACCATTGAGCCTTTGTTAAAATTGCATTATGTCTCCTAAAGTTCCACGGGAATTCTATCCTACTATTTATGCTGTTTGTACTCGCAAGGACTACAATTGATAGTTTCATATACTCAAAAAGAAGTGTCAAGGTGAAAGGGGAGAAAGTCTATGGCTGCTTTTATCTGTCAGGCATTGAGCTGTGGTTGCTGCGCACCTTTCCAACAATTGTCACTGTCATGTATTTGTCTCTCTTAGTTTTTATTGGTTCCAAGCCTTTATTCTTTCAAAAGATTTGGCTACACCTAATGAATAGAATCTCAGTAACGATATGGAATACTGGGGAATTGTTATTCTAGCTTAGTTAATAGAGGCAAATATTATACTGTACAATTGCACTACGTCCAGATGTTCGGTATATTGATTTGATTGATGCTTTTTTTACCTGACCTGGTAAACAATTGAAATTTTCAATGCAGCGACAGTCACTCTGCCTAATACTCCAAAGACTCCAGAAGGAATTCGTGTTAGGATCATGGTAGCAGTTATGGCTTTCTTCATGACACTTTTAACACTTCTCCGAACACTAGCAGTCCGTGTTACTAAGAGGCTTCCCTATGCCTCATCTGAGAATGATCAAAATTCGCCTGAGCATTTCTTGGATGCAACAAAGGAAGAATTTCGTCCTCCTTCACCAACTCATGCTTTTACTGAGGCAGATCTCCTCTCCTCTGTATTGAAAAGGCTAGGTGAGCTTGAGGAGAAAGTCGATACATTAAAAGCAAAGCCATCAGAGATGCCTTACGAGAAAGAGGAATTGCTAAATGCCGCTGTTTGTCGTGTGGATGCCCTAGAAGCCGAGTTAATTGCTACTAAAAAGGTATGAGTACTTTAGTGTGGAATAATATTGGTGATGCGTTATCACATCGTTGAGCATAGTTTAGTCGTTTGTTAGTTGACTTGCAGTTATGTTTTATATCTTTTGCATGTTATTATGGCATCCTTTCTGCTGTGCGTTATTCTAAAGAAGAGCACTGATTATTTGGTCCATTTTCTAATTTCTGTTTCATGAACAGGCTCTGCATGAAGCTTTAATGAGGCAAGAAGAATTGCTTGCATACATAGACAGTCAAGAAGAAGCCAAGTACCGGGTAGGGTGATCAATCTCTCTTTACTTTTATTATGGCATCAGGGTATTAATTTTGACTAATACAATTCATGGTTGATTCAATTTTTCTTTATATCAGAAAAAGAAGTCTTGCTGGTAATATGTTTTGCCAATGGAGAGAAGACTTTGATGGCTTCTTTACTGGCACTAATTTAATTGTGTGGAGAGAAGTTCTTAACCTACAAGCTACCTTGTTGATTGTGCTGAGGATACACTTCCTAATGAATTTGAGTTTCCGTTGATTGCAAATGAACAAAGACGTTGTTGTATGACTACCATCAATCTCAAATCATGTTCGTGTGGTTTGTTTTGTCCAATTTTATGCATTTTCCATGTATATTTTTCTAATATGAAATTATTAATGCATTTGACAATTGTTAAGGCCTTGAAATACTCATATTTATATTATATATCGTTTGAGCGCTTGGTTTGGCACAGAAGCCTTAAGGTGTTTCTTTAATATCTGTTTTACATTCTTGTTCTTGATTTGTTTTCCCTTAAATTTCTGAAAAAAAAAAACTTAGTGTGAGATCTGTTATGTAGTTATGTAAGCTGCTTGTTGAGTTTTGACTTATGAATCCCTAGTTATTGTTCTTGTTGAGATACAGGAAAAAGGTGTGAACATTGCATGATTTAATTGTCTTCTTCCTTGATCAATGATCAAGTACTGGCATAATTGCAGGTTTTTTTTTTTTTTTTCCTGGGATTCAGCATAATTGCAGGTTAGTGATTAATACCATGCTACTTGAAATACGTTTGTCCATAATGTAAGGTAAAAAAAAAAAAGAAAAGAGATGCTCTTTTTGTGTTCTTGTAATTCTATCCCTAATTTTTAGGATATTTTATCAATTTGAAAACTAAAATTTTTATTATTAATTATAATAGGTTAAATTGGTCTGTGATTTTATATTAAATTGTTAAGTTTAGTTGTTTAATATCAAATTTGGTTTAACCAATCATTAATATAAAGTGTATTTATGTAATTGTTGTTTGCTTTCATTTACGGTCACCCGAAGTGGGACAATGGTCATTTGAGATTCAACATGAGCTCTATGAGATAGATGTTTTTACAAAATTATCATGGTTTTCGATACAAAATGTGTTATATTTCTAATTTCGTATTTCCTATTTAACAAAAAAATTTATTTTACAAAATAATATCTTCTTTTTCAAAGTTTAAATTATATCAGACGTAAAACTTCAACTATGAACATCCATTTAATTTCATCTTTCTTTTTCATTTTTAGAATTATCTTATATTTTTCCTTTTTTTTTTTCAATATATAATTAATTGTAAAAGAATTATTAATTTAGACATTTGATTTATAATAAATAAAATTGGATATGAAATAGAAAAAAGAAAAAGCAAAATTCAAATACTAAATTTGTAATTATAGCTTAATTTAGTCTAATTAATTTATTAAATTCTCAAAATTGAATGCAATTAGAATTTCTTTTTTTCTTCTTTTTGTCATAAGTCAAACCGAAACAGGAAAAAAGAAAAGATGTTATCATTTTCAATTGCTAGGAGGACTTCAGTATGTAAATAAAACCCAAATTCTTGCAACTGTCCTCCAGTGTATGCAGAACATAACTACAATATTTCTCCACATCAATGTGATTTTATCAATGTTCAAACAGTAAAGATCCATCCAGAGAAAAAAAAAAGTTCAAACAATGAAGTTTCTTTAATTTCTAACAGGGATAATCATATTTATTTCTGAACTTTTTGGAAATTTCAAGGGTTAATTTCTTCTTCTTCGTTAATTTTAGTGATTGATAATTCTATAATTGCTAATGAAATTTACCTAACTTTTGTATTTATAGCTAAAACTTTCACCAACCATTTTTGTTTTTTGATCAATTTACTTCATATTAAATTTAAACCTCCCTCCCACCTTCTCTTACTGCTGCAGAACTGGAAAAGTACATTCCATCAATACTCAAACTTATACAGATATGAACAAGAAAGCAAAGAAAAAGCTCAATGTAATATACAAAGCGTTTAAGTTGAGTAGCATACAAAGCAGTAAACACTTAAAATAATAACAAATATAGGGGCAAAAAATTTCTAATCGCCTCCAGTATTAGTAATTCTCAAGTTCTCGTGTGGGGCATTGCAGAAAAACCATCACCTGTAACCTCACTCAGCTTTTCTGGATTCTTTGGTCAAAACCCGAAAAACTGAAATATGTAAGAAAAACCCTTTGATTAGAAATGTTAAATGTCCATTACTAAACAAGCAAACGACATTACAGATATGCATACCTTCTTCTTTTTCTTCTTCTTTTCAATGTACTGTAGAAGTTCCTGCTGTTTAGCAACTGCAACGTCAAGTGCCTGCAATAACAATAAGCAAGAATTACAAAAGTTACCTCAAACAAATATTAGGTTTAGCAATATTTGTTACTTGATGTTAAGTATAATGATTAACAACAAGTGTATGTTAAACAGTATTGCTGCCAATTGTTAACGGCTGTTAAAAGTACATTCTGTTTTAGTTTGCTTCCAAATTGTATGATAGAGAATTGAAAAAAAAAATGTTTTAAGTTACCTTCTTTGCTGCAGCCAACTCTTGCTCCAGGACTTCAGTGCGTCTTAAAGCAGCATTCAACATTTCCTCTTTCTCGGGCGGCATAGTGTCTGCTTTCAATGCAAGAAAATTCATCTTCTCTTCCATTTCGGCCATGCGCATCATCATGGTCTTGTATTCAGCAGTAGAGATGGAGGGTTCTGGCAATGCATTATTTTTCATCATCGTATCATCGTAATAAACTTGACTACCATAGATTGCAGCTTCAGTAATTTTTCTTGGCATGTTACGTGTCATGCGAACCATGGTGACAATTCCCATTACCAAGGCCATAACTCCACTAACGATTAGATTGTTTGTTCCATCAGCCCTGCAAGTACCGGCTGCAGGGAATTCGGCCACTGTGTTGGAAATAAGAGTGTAATGTTGTTAATTAATAGAAGGCAATGGATTGCAGAATATGCATTAGTTCTTTAACTTTTGAAGAAAACAATGTTAAAATCGTAACAATTAATGCTCTTTGACATTGAGGTTGAAATATGTTCTTCTAAAAAGCAGCTCTTTTGATGCTGCTAAGAAAACATTTTGAAATTGTCCTTTAGCTGTTTCGGAGTTTTATGACTTTAATATGCCAAAGTTACCTTAAAAATAATTTAATGACTTCTAATAAACATTTCGAATGCAATGTTTTTCTCAGCAACGCCAACGACTCAAATAGCAATGCAAAATTGACTCTAAGAAAGTATCTCATAAATAAGCATATATCTAACGCTAAAGATTCATATCGAGATATGGTTTTAGGAGAGATGCGTTTTATATCGATGAATTGCACACCTTTCGAGGCATCGAACTTCATGGGAGGATCCCAAGCAGCATCTACAGACTTGTCGACCATTGGAATGAGGTTGCCATAGTTTGTGATGTTGCTCTTTGTGCCATTGAGAAACTTCAAGTACATAAAAGAGAGAATTATAAGCAGAACTAGACAACTTGATGAATAAACTCAAAATAAAATTATTTTACAAGTTTCCAAATTTTTAGTCCTTGCATTTCAATTTCATGATTACATCTTAACCATTTGTCATTGTTATTCAGTAATCTATCAGATAAAAATCTAGATAACTTACTTCTTCAGGAACAGGACAGAATTTTTTAAACTCAAGATCCGCAGCTGCTGCTACTTTGAAAGGATCTACCGTCTTTGTCATTTTAAACAACAACAGCATAAAGGTTAATAGAGTAAAAACTCTAGATAGTTTCAAAAATCATGCTTATTTTCATATTTGTGTTTTAAAATGTGATGAACTACAAGATGGTGAAAATTGAAGTGTGTTTCAAAATGTAATGAACTACAAGACGGTGAAAATTGAAGTGTCTGGCAAGTACAAATACCTTTGGGCATGCCTTCTCATCCTCAGAGATTGCCTTCTCTTCAATTCCTGACAAAATTCTCCTGTTGCATTTATGTTCACCATTTTGAACCATCTGGATCATTAAAATCAACAAAATGTCATTTTTATTTGATATCTTATACAATATTGCATAAATGAAAGAAATTCTATTAACAAATAGAACCCGTGAGTAGTAGCAGTTTTACCTTCATTATGTCTGGATTGTTCCATGGACCCTTATCAGAGCGCATACATCCACCCTTATCAGCACAAGTACATGCACCGCCCAAAAATTCTGGCAGCTCGCTGATTGCAGTACAGAAACAAAAGAATGGTTCAGCAGAGAAATTGAAAAAAAAAAAATACAATCTATATTCTCTTGGAACAAGCATACTAGAACGAAAATATGTTAGTAAATAGAACTTGGAAAGGTAAAAAATATTTGCTAGAACAAATTTCATGTAATCAACCAAGAATTTAACTTACCTAGCATCGATTATTTCAAGCAACTTGCTCTGGTATTTACTGCCCAAGAACTAGCCAAAAAGATTTATTTAATAGTTTAGTTTAGTTTAGTTAAAATAATGTATCTTCACACTATTTAAAGATTAATACTTACATGGATCTTGGAAGCAGTCTTGGGGTCAATGAACTGCTTAACAGTGTTCCATAAAAACCTGAATCCAGTACCACCATTGATGATGAACATGCGGTTTAGGGACTGAGAATTAAAAAGAGGGGAAAAAAAAGAGAGAAATATTCAATTAATGTCATGTAATGTAAAAACCTGTTATTCATCCAAATGTAAGGGACTACAAATCTAATAATGTTAAAAAAATTATTACCTCAGGGTAATTATCACCATCAATCTTTTGAATGCGTGCAATAAGTTCCCTTGCAGTTTTTGTGAATTGTTTAAGACCCTTACCGATGGATAATTTAGAATTAGTACTAGACTTTTGAAGAGTAAAACAACAAATTTAATTAATTAAAGTCGACCTATACGATGGCAGTAAAAATTCTCACATACCACTCCTTGTACATCCAAAATGGTGGTGCTCTGGTCAATATGCCTCTTTGCTGCAACTGAACAGGCTGGAAGCTTATAAACGAAAGCTTTCTCAAACTCTCGTACATGGTACTTCACGTATCGGTCCAATGTTGTGACTTGCAGCAGCTTGGTAGCATCAACTTCACCAAGTTTTTCAATGTATACAGGTCGTCCTTCCTTATCGACACCATGGTACCCTTGTGGGTAGTATTTCAAGACTTCATCTAATTCTTGGAACTCAAAGTCCTAAACAAGCGAACCAAATGAAGCTTACAGAAAAATACGGATGCCGTAAAACTGCAACATTCTAATTCTATCTCTGTTTTTGTGATTATTACCCCAATGATTGTGTCAGTACCAAATTCCTTCCTCCACTGGAGCATATCAGACCACATCTGCTTTGCTTTCTCTACGTCAAATTTCCTAGCCCTCAAAAATCTGTATCATAATTTTCAATAAGTTAGCAATCTAGTCATTTTCTATGCAGGAAAATTTACAAAATGAAAATTCTAATTAAAAAGTATTGTGGACTGACTTAATTTGATTAAGACATTTAAAAAACTTCTAAAAAGGAATTAAAACCTCAGGCTCTATTTGACAAAAAATGAACTTGTCATGTAACTATTTTATTAAAAAGGACTGACTTAATTCTGAATAATAATACCTCTAGAAAACTTCAATAGAATCTTTTTCTATATATAATGTCCTTGGAAACAGATTTAAACATTTGCCTACATTTAGTTGTTTGTTTAGTTGAACTAAAAATTAAAACCAGAAAATTGTACAACTTAGTGCATAACATGACCTAAAAAATATTTGAGTCTCGAAAAGAAAAAGAAAATAACCTGAGCATAACATGGTGATCATCCTGCTTACTGGGGAGCAGCTCATCAAGGATAAGCACTTGACGGAATGCCTCAACTGCCTGTAATTCCTCAGCATCAATGTTATCCTCAATAGAAACAGACATCACTCTGCTGTTTCTGCGGCCCTTCTTTGTCAAAGAATTCCTGAACTTGTTGGAGGCATTGATTGCCTTCTTCTTTAGAGCTGCAAGCCTGGTCTTCCTGTCCTCGTCAGAGCTATCCATGTCTAAACCTGCTTAATCAAGTATTCAAAGGCAACACAGTACTTGAATATAAAATGAGGCTGCATTAACAAATTAGGAAAATGTGCCTTTTCACCAAGGAATTTCCTTTCAAAAGCTCATTCTCCATCTTTCATCATTTTATTTGTATTGAAATTTAAATACATAGTCAAATGCTTACCTGCTTTTGTATCCGCCATGGCTATGATTAAATCTTAAAAGATCAATTGTTTGAGATGGCAAAAATATCAGGAGGTTCAAGCACGACAAAAAATTGCCCCGCACGATATATGTATGCCTACAACCATATAAATACATTACAGAACTACAAAATCAAAAGTAAAAACTGGCTAGTATACATGAAAAAGATGTTTAAGCATACATATGCCTTTTGAGAAAAATCATAGCAACCAAAACACAAACAACTTGTATGCATAAGGATACGCTTAAAAAAGAAAAAAAGGTGGGGGGGAGGGGGGGGTGAAGGAAGGGGAAAGGAAGATTGAAACAGAAACACTTAAAAGAAGCATTACATAAATCTATATAAATTCTACTAAACAAATACTGAGAGACGATTACGTAAACTAGCTACACATGCTATAGGGGCATGAAAACAACCAGGAACAATTGAAAAGTTTAATAACAAGAACCAATTAACCAAACTAATCTTGTCATTTTAAGCACTTAAACATCAAATCTTGATTTACAAATGCTCTATTTCAATAAGACATGCGAAATTCAAAAATGAAAAAAACCAAGAACTGAAATTCAGAGATCCATCATGGGAAATAGTATCTAAGGATGATTGAGAAATGCAAGAATTAGAAGTGCTTAATGAAGAAAAGAAGAAAAAAAGAAAGATTTACGTTCAGAAAGAATGCGGGTAGCTATAGGAGCAGAAGGGGACAAGTAATATATATTTAAGAGCAGGAAAAAATGTGTTAAAGCAAAGGGCCCCTAGCTAGCAGGACAACCCTAAAAATGGAAGAGAAATGACATATATGATAGTTACAGAAATAGTGATGAAAAGGACCTTTTGGTTGCTAGCCATTGACGGGTTCTTGCTTTTTTTAGTTATGTATTAGAGAGAAAGAGTTAGGAAAGCTAAATGCATGCCACTCCATACATACGCGCAATAATCTTTAACTAACTTCTTAACGCCTTTCCTTTGTTTCCCGGTAAAATTTATAACTACCTTTCTAGAAGCTATTTTTTCTTTTTCTTTTTTTTTTTTTTTATGCATTCTCGTTTTTTTCTTTTGCCGTTAAGTGTGTCTTCCTAATCTTTGGATATAAAACGATTCTCATTTTAGAGTTCTAACTAACTCTCCTCATAATTTATGGTCGAATTTTTCACCTTATAGAAATTGTCTGCTAAACTTAAATGTGAATATTTTTCATATTTTAGAGAAAATAAAAATTCATAAAATGACAATTACCATTAAATTATTATCAAATAACACATACTAAGTAGGTGCCATTTACGATAATTTTTATTTTTAATTTACTTTGTTTGTAATTTGCTCTTTTTTTACTATAAAATGAGTTTTTATCCATGCATATAATTAGTCATTTGTGAATATAATTTAGTTGATGAATATCAATAATTAAGGAATGTCACAATTTGATTAATAAATTGCTTTAAAACAGTTTGCATATCTCTCTTTGTTAAAGCTATCTCAACTATCGTTTTAGATAAGTCTGTGTTTTTGCTATGTTCTTGTTTTTATTTTTATATGTCCATCTCTCTTTTTTTCCTTTGCCTTTTGTGTCTTCCTAATCTTTGGATCATTAAAACGGATCTCTATTCTAGCGAGTTCCTCAACATAAGCTCTCGCTCATATATGTAGTTAGTTTTCCGAAATATTTTATACTCTTTAGTGAAAGATTATCTGCCTAGAGAGAGTGGAAGAATAGATAGTGCATATTTCAATATTATTTAGAGAAATAAAAAATTTATTAAAATTCGAACAATACATTACCTACTTTTAATTATTACCCGTTGTCAATACTTGTCCAGGAAACAGATCTTAAATCTATATCAAATAACACATTACTTTGAAAGAGCTAGTGTGTCGCATTTACGCATAATTTTTTTATGTATTAGTGAAGTATACTCTTTGAGCTCTCCGTAATTTGCTCTTGTTTTATTACTATAAAAATGCAGTTTTTCAATCGAGAGTGATAGTTAATATAATTAGTCATTTTGTCGAATTATAATTTAAACGTATAGATTGAAATATCAATAACTCCGCGAATGTCCCTAATATTGGATTAATAAATGCTTTTAAAACAGTTTTGCCATTATTATGTATACTATATATACTGGTTTTAATGGCCCTATAAATACGTAGGTAATCATTTATCACTAATTGGTTGTTTAATTAAATGAAACTATATGCATAAAGTCACTATTGCTTGTTTGGTGGTGCCTCCACTAAGCTATAGGCACGTCTCCTTTAGCCACTGCTAAATTGAAGATTACCAAGTGCTCCCATATCTTATTTAGTGCAATTGTTTAAACCTAAAATGCTATATATATACACTAATTGGTTGTTTAAATTAAATTGAAACTATATGGCATAAAGTCAACTATTGCTTGTTTGTGGTGCTCCACTAAGCTATAGGCACGTCTTCTTTTAGCCCTGGCTAAATGAAGATTACAAGTTACATTATCTTATTTGTGCAAAATTGTTTAATTTAAAATGAAAGGAAATACAAGACTACGTAATTGTAGAAATAGAAATTTTTTTTAATTCTTGCACGGTATATATCATGTTCGTATCCGTCTTAACTATTCATAAACCTAACTAATCCTAATGTTGCCTTCGAGGGGCAAAGGATTGGCTCGGGAGGTATTGCAGAGGATTAAACCTAGGTATGGCCGATTCATTGAAACGCCAGTTCCGATTCATGCAACCGGCGGTTCAAGATTTTTAAAATATTGATTCTGAACTGGCCCTTGAACAGCTGGTTTTAGTCCGGTTTCAATTCCTACTGGTTCTAGAACAGTTTTAATCATAGTTTTCCGCGATGTGTGTATTAATTTTTTCTTAAAAAATAAAAATTCAATTCTAAGGCGTCTTTATTTTAAAAAAATTAATGTGAATTTAAAAAAATAAATAGTAAATTTATTTTAAATAATTTTTAGAATGCTTAGACTCACATAAGCAATAAAACTAATTAATTTTACAAAATAATCAAACAAAAATTATAAAAATGCTTCAAATAATGTCATTTTGAACTAAGTAAAATATTTAAAAGGAAAAATGTTAAACTCCCACTTGTATTAAACAATATAATTATATACTAAATTTTATAAAATAGGCTAAGTGATTATAATTTTAAAAATTAAAAAAAAAAAAAATTTCCGATTCGAATCGGATCGGAGCCGCTGGTTCAGGTTCAGCATGTAACATTCACATGAATCTTAACCAATCCTTGAACTGTCTGTTCCAGTTTAAAATTTTGAACCGACTATTCCGGTCCAATTCCAATTCGTCTACAGTACAATTTGGTTCGATTCAAACTGAACTAGTGGCCATGGCTAATTGAACCCATGACCCAAGCCATGATGATCGACGTCACAAGTGTTCTTTACCACTAATTAAACTACTCCATTCAAGTTATAAAAATTTTAGTTAATTTACAAATTGTCAAAATATTAAATTGGATTAAAAAACTATATTAGTTAGTGGATTAATTAAAATTATATTAATTCTATTTTATTAAGCATGTTCAAAATGGAAATTTTATATATCTAATTAAATTTTGATACATAAAATTTAAGTGGCCAACAATCCCATCCATCTGAGACGCAAACTACTAGTACCTATTATTTGTTTAATTAATATTCTAAAAATATTTAAAATAATAAATTTAAAAAAAAATTATATATACAACTTTCTAATCATAACTAATGCTATAATTATATTTAATATTTATTTTTTTTTTATTAAATCAAAAAAATAATTTTATAATTCTTACTTATTTTTTATTTTTTATTAAGTTAAATTCTTGAACCCACGAATTAAGAATAATAAGTTCTTCATTACTTAGAATATAAAACCCACTTAGAATAACGAAACAGATTATATTTGTCCAGAAGTGTAAATAATAATTTTCTATTTTTTAAAAAAAAAAATTTAATGTTAACCAGAAATTTAAACAGATACCGGTATAATACTTAAACGGGTTAGTAGGGCGAGGGATTGAGGCCCGAGCCTCCAAACTTAAAAAACATTGAAAATTTTATCTATAAACAGTGAAAAAAATTTTTCCTTGATTTGGCCCCTTAATTTTGAAAATTTTCTTTTAGCCCTTTGTAGTTTTGGAGTCTGACTCCGCTTCTAGCTCTATCTACAAAAAGAAACTACAAGTTCTAACCAATTAAAATCTCAAGACTCCACAAAAAATTGAAATCGAAGACTGCATAAATCAAGGGAGGTGAAACTACTCATAGAAACTTTTCAAAATTTCAATTAGTTTTCCTTATAAATTCTATTTTATATTTTAAAAATATATATATTGTATCTAATTATAATTTAACTCTATTTCTATATTTTTCTGCCAATATTTAAAGTATAATTGGTCTAATTATTTTTATAAGCACTTTATTATTTTTATTTTATGTCTAATTATTTTTATAAGGATTTTATAATTTTAATTATATAATTATTGTGCAAATGCATATATTTAATCCATTGATAAGAAGTAAAAAAAATTATGTTATTATTTTCTTTTGATGTGTAAATCAGCTAAATTCATATATAATGTATATAAAAACGAAAGACTTTAATGTAGAGGTAATGTCATGTTATCCATATAATGCTTAGTTGGTATTAATGTATTAGACTGCTAATAGCTACTTTTGATACCTTTCAGTTTTTACTAATTTGATGGGTAGGGCGAAAGAAAATCTTTTAGCATGCGGCCGTAAAAGTTTATTTTATTTTCTTTTGATCCACTGAATTTCTCAGTAAATTAAAAAATATATTAATATTTTTATAAATAATTAGTTTTTGTGAAAGCGCGTTGCGCGTTGTTTGTACTCATTGTTATATATATATTCGTGTATGTGTACTCATTGATTTTTTCTCATTTCAAGTGGTAATTTAATTTTTATATATAATTTTTTATTGCTTTATATATATATATAATTTTGTTATAAATTATAATATTATTGAATAGTTTCTAAAAATCTAAGAGTATTCATGAAATAATAAAATAAAAAGATTTAATAATTACATAACAAACAACAAGATATATCATTAAAATTTATATATTATTCTAAAAAAGCAAAGTATATAATAAAAATAGTTATTAATAATGTTATTGGGACTGGTCTTTGTAAAATCATGTGTAGCATCTAACACTGTCTTTGTTCTAGTTCTTTTGCTTCCTCTAATTAGTACTCTAAACTCTAGAATTTATAGTGTTGCTATATATAAATCTATGTTTGCAGCTATTTGTCCATTTGTGCAGTTTCTAATTAGAAAATTCGACTCTAATTTTGATGGTTGAATTTAATTGTATATGTGAACTTTAAAAATTGAGACTGCACATTTACTTTATTTTTCATCTAATTTTTGTAGGTTTTTCTATTTAATATTGGGAATCCAAGGCATTTCTTATATCAGTTTTTGCTTACAAAATAAATAAAAATGCTTTCTTTTTGGAGATAAGGATTGGGAATCCTTACCCAATGCAATCTTTTAAATATGTTCAATCCTATAGAAAATTGTAAATATAAATGAGTGATCGAGAAAATTTTCATTTTTTCCATACAATGTGTTAACCATGTTGGAATTTTTCTTTTTTTGGTATTTGCTATCTATGAAAAAATGTTTTCATTTCCAACTCAATTGCATTTGTTGGAAAAATAAAAGAAAACTAAATTATCTTTTTATGGTTTTGTTTTCTATGATTTGATTTGTAGCTCCTAAACTTACTACTAATATTACTAATTCTTATCAGTTTAAATGATAATAATTGAGCAAACTATCATAA